CTGACCCGGGTGCAAATAAACTTCGCGCCGGACACGCCGAACGTAGTAAGAGGACGGCGCCGATCGGGAACGACGGAGAGGGAGGGCGGAGGAGGAGCACTACTGCAAGCGCGGCCAGCTGCCAGGGCTACTGATTAGTCTCATTGGCCTCGAGTCTGGGGGAAAATGCAGGTTAACCTGAATAGCCTTTTAGCCTTTTCAGTCCGGTTGGGCCTGACCACCGGTTACTTGGCCGCATTGGGACTGAGGGTCGGGGTCAGTCTAACCCCAAACGGGCAAGGTCTGCAGTTCCAACGTCACCCTGGGGCTTAACCCCTGGTGGGCGCTAGTCCTTTTCTGGCTGCCTAGACGGGCTAGGCACTAATACTGGAAATGGGATTGGCTCAACCGACCAAGTGGCGGGAGCTTGGTCCCCACGTGGAGAGCAGATAAACTGGTAAACCTTAGCAACCGCCACTCTATCTCATTACCAAATCGTTTCCACTTTTTTTGTCTCTTTCTGGTTTCTCCATCGTGTGATGGCCACCACGAAACTGGTCAAAATGTCTTTTCTGCTCATTCTCGTTGGTCTGTTCTTGTTGCCTTCGTTTATCAGCTGGAACTCGGCGGCGGTGCCCGGATTCATCCGATCCTTCCTCTGGTGTTCTCTCGTTTCGCGCTCTCACTCTTGGTGCTCTGGGCGGACGGTTCAGTGCCTGCGGTGAATCTCCGTCCCGCTCCATTCAAAACCCTCCCTCTTCCCTCTTGTTCCTCGCACTTCCAGACTCATCCTCTCTCTCTCTCTCTCTTTTCCTCCTCCCTCCCTCTCCCCCTCCCCAACTCTTCATCCCAAGGCAACCGGTGTGTGACAGGGCACTGTGTGTTATACTTACTCTGCCCTCCTCCACCCAACCGCCACTTAACTAAATACCTCCGCCCTCCCACCACTACCTACACCTCATCTATCACTTAGCTCTACATAAAAACAAAATTATCATCATGGGTTACGGCGACGAAATCGCCGGCATGGACAACAAGTCCCAGAATGTCATGGGGGGTGAGAAGTACGATGGTGACTTGGTGGAGAAGATGAGCGAGGGCGAGCGGAACATCTACGAGGCCGGTATCGAAAAGTACAACCGTCTGGGATGGAAGCGCCTGACGGTTGTGCTGATCGTCGAGGCCATTGCGCTGGGTAGTTTGTCCATTCCCGGCAGTTTCGCTACCCTTGGTATGGTTGCCGGTGTCATCTTGACCGTGGGTCTGGGTTTTGTCGCCATCTACACCAGTTACGTGGTCGGTCAGGTCAAGCTGAAGTTCCCCGACGTCGCCCACTACCCCGAGGCGGGACGGCTGATGTTCGGTCGGGTTGGTTACGAGATTGTCTACGTGATGCTGGGTCTGCAATTGCTCTTCCTGACGGGCTCCCACTGCTTGACGGGTACCATCGCCTTCATTAACATTACCGAAAGCGGCGTCTGCTCCGTCGTGTTCGCCGTCGTCTCCGCCATCATCCTGCTGCTCTTCGCCATCCCTCCCAGTTTCGCTGAGATGGCTATTCTGGGCTACGTCGACTTTGTCTCCATCATCGCCGCTATCCTGATCACCATGATTGCCACGGGAATCACGGCTTCCGACAGCACGGCGGGTCTGTCCGGGGTGAACTGGTCCGCTTGGCCCAAGGAGGGCATCACCTTCACGGACGCCTTCATTGCCGTCACCAACATTGTCTTCGCCTACAGTTTCGCCATGTGCCAGTTCTCGTTCATGGATGAGATGCACACCCCCAAGGACTACGTCAAATCCATCTGGGCGCTGGGTCTCATTGAAATCGTCATCTACACGCTGACGGGTGCGCTGATCTACGCCTTTGTTGGTCAGGATGTGCAGAGCCCCGCCTTGCTGTCCGCCGGGAGCATGGTGAAGCGTGTGGCGTTTGGGATTGCGCTGCCCGTCATCTTCATCAGTGGTTCGATCAACACGGTGGTGCTGGGCCGCATGATCCATGGGCGCATCTTCAAGAACTCGACCATTCGCTTCATCAACACCAAGATGGGCTGGATCACCTGGCTGGCCCTGATCACCGTCATCACCTGGGTGGCATTTGTGATCGCCGAGGTCATTCCCTTCTTCTCGGATCTGCTGTCCATCTCCTCTTCGCTCTTCATCTCGGGCTTCACCTTCTACTTCCCCGCGCTGATGTGGTTCTTGCTGGTGCGCGAGGGCAAGTGGAACACGCCCAAGAACCTGATGCTGGGGGCACTGAACCTGTGCTGCCTGATTATTGGTCTGGTGACGCTGGGGGCTGGTACCTATGCCAGTGTCGACGACATTGTAAGACCATCCTATCTTCAATTCATCTCGATGATTATGATGCTAATATTCTTATTTTTCTAGATTCTCAACTACCGCAACGGTTCCGTTCGTGGTGTGTTCACCTGCGCTGCTCCGGAGTAGAGCCTTCTTTGTGATTATTTCGATGGGGAGGCGACCCCGACCGGTGCCCACCTTTTTTTTCTTCCTTGTTGTGGGAATCGGTCGGAAGTCGCTCTCTCCCCACCCCTGCAAATACCCCCCACCCCAACTTACTGCATTTGCATTTGATGTACATATGACTCGATGTTTATGATTTGGATTTGTGAATACATTTACGAGCGCCCTGTTGATACACGAGCGGGTCTTTTCCTGTCATCTTTGCTCTGATATTTGTTCCGCCTCTGCACCAGCACTATACCTCCCATGTGTTTTGATTTGGCGATAGATCAAGACCCTCTCGCAATAGAGTTCTACATTCTTGATTATTATCATCATCAAACAGATAAGCCTCGTATCATGTAGATAAGCCTTGTGGTGGCGTTGTCTTGCCCACGGGATCGAGTCAAGGTCAAGGTTTGCGCAATGCTCGGATGACGCGGGGAGGGCGGAGGTCCATGCCACCGCAGGCAACATGCAACGTCACAATCACGATCCCCCCTCCATCCGAACGAACCGGCCGAGCAGAGAACGAGTGGAAGAAATAAGCACGCCATCGGATCAAGTTCCCGCTGAGGTTGCGTTGGATGGATCCAGCGGGGTCCCATCCCCAGTGTCCACTTCTTTAACGAATGTAGGATGTCATGATGTAGTGGATCGCCGCTGAGGTGAGATGGGCTGATACCACGAACTATTACTACTTCGCTGACTGCAGTGTGTGATAGATCGACATGATGATGATGGGGACACTTGCATCTCTGCTACTGGATAATACCATCGTCCAGTCTGGCTGCATCTGGTCTGGTATTTGTTGTTCCCAATCATCATGTGGTATACTACTAGTAGAGCACAGATATATATACTACTTGTAGTAACAGTGAATTCACTGCACTACTACCATGAATTTCATGTCAGTGGTGATAACCAGCCATGGATAATTACTCCCCTGCTATATACGGCGCCCAGTCAGGCTTCCACTATCCCCAGCTTGGATGATGATGGCCTTCACACTGAATCATACCATGTCATGTGCATCTGCCGACCAGTTGCCGAATCAGTCACCACCATCATGTGACCTGTACATGCACTCACTGCCTGAGTCATTGTCCTTAATGCATAACTAATGCATGAATAATGAAAGAAGTTCACTCCTATTCTTGTTGTTCTTCTACCTGAAAGACTCCTTTTCCTCTCCACCATCCACAACCAGCAATCTATCCCAAGTTAGCTATACCTCTTCGGTCCCTATCCTCACCCCCCTTTGCATGTACTTAGTGTAGCCCTATACCAACACCATCCCCCGTAACGAGTATAGGTTTCGCATGCCAATATTAGATCCATCAACTTGACATCCGATCGACACTCACTAGCTGAAACCCTGCCAATCACTTCCTCCTCGGCTGCCCCGTATTTCCACAACTGGAGCTGCTATTTCTATCATCCGGCATCCGCATGTCTCACTCCAACACCTCCATCAATATGCACGCTTCAGCTTGCTGTCGGCCTTATAACCCCGGGCTACTCCGGGTGGGAGTTGTCCTCTTCATGCTCCTTCCCTCATAACAGCAATTCCATCTCCATATTTCTCCATCACTTTCAATCCCATCGCCAGCATGAAATTCACTGTCGCCGCTGTCGCTGCCTTCGCTGCTGGAGCACTGGCTCAGAATGTCCAGATCGCCTCCCCCAAGGCCGGCCAGACGGTCCAGGCGGGACAGAAGGTGATTGTTCAGATTGAGCGTCCCGTAAGTCCTGCGTCGTTGTTACTCTCTCAACAAACCCGAATGACATGAAATGCGTCGTTTCACTAACCAAGATGTTTTGCGAATAGACTCCCCCCACCAACGTCGAGGAAATGGCCATCGCCATCGGCCTGCAGTCCTGCGCCTCGGCTACCTGCTACCCGGCCTCGGAAGTCCTGGGCCACGTCCTGTACAATGGCGCGTTTGACCCCGAGTACCACGAGTGGTACTTGCCCCAGTATCAGAACTTCACCGTGACCATTCCCGAGGGCACGGCTTCGGGCAAGGCGGTGCTGGGTGTTGCTCATGCTTCCCTGATTGGAGTAAGTTGATCGCCATTTCAACCGGTGAACCTCTGCTGATTTGCTTGTGCTCTAGGCTTCGTTTGAGCCCTATCTCCAGACCCTGAGTCAGAACATCACGATCGCATAGGTTGGTGCAGTGGAGGTATAGGCGGGCTTAGGGGGATCGCCTGATTGAGTATTGTGTACATAGCAACTCATTGCATTAATTGAAGCAAATAATCATTTCTAATGAACGGTACACGCAATTCCTCCCGCTGATATAGCTCGTCGCGGATGGTGGTGATTTAGCGCCAATCACGCCATCCCTTGCATTTCGTTTGCACGACAGATCGGCATCCAGCATCAATTCGAATTGCATTGTCCAATGGAAGACCTGATTGATAACATCTCAAGTGGGGTGGTGGTGTCTTGACAGAATACATAAATAAAAAGCATACCTTCGCGGTCCCGCTACACCGTGAATAAACCACTATTATTTTTACAACCATGAAAGGACTCTCACTTCTCGCCTTCGCCGCTCTGGCGCAGGCGTCCATCGACTCCTTTGCAGCAATTGGAAAACCAGACACCCAGAATGTCCTACAGGACCACCATGTAGCCCATCACTCCTCCAGCAGTCGCCCCAACATCGTATTCATCCTCGTCGACGACCAAGACCTGCAAATGGACTCCCTCCACTACACCCCACGAATCAACCACCACCTCGCCAACCAGGGCGCCTTCTACCGCAATCACTTTGTCACAACGGCCTTGTGCTGTCCTTCACGCGTGAGTCTCTGGACAGGCAAGCAAGCCCACAACACCAACGTGACTGAAATCTATCCCCCATACGGTACCCACTCTACTTCCAACCGCACTGCCAGAAAACTAATAATGAACAGGAGGATACCCCAAATTCGTCGCCGAAGGCCACCACGAGAACTGGCTTCCGCTCTGGCTCCAAGCCGCCGGCTACTCCACCTACTACACAGGGAAACTCTTCAACGCCCACACCGTCGACAACTACAACGCCCCCTTCGTGACGGGCTTCAACGCCTCCGACTTCCTCCTCGACCCGTATACATACCAGTACCTCCGGCCTCACTACCAACGGAACCAGGACCCCCCAACCAGTTACGAGGGCCATCATACCCTCGAAATCCTCTCCCAAAAGGCCCTGGGATTTCTCGACGACGCTATCTCCAGCAATGACCCATTCTTCCTAACCGTCGCCCCAGTGGCACCGCACTCCAACCTCAACATGACAGACGAGTCCGACACCACCACATTCCGCTTCTCTCCTCCCATCCCACTAGAGAAACATAAGCATTTATTTCAGGATGCTAAGATCCCCCGAACCCCCAACTTCAACCCCGACCATCCCAGCGGAGTCAGCTGGGTACGATCCCTGCCGCAACAAGATGCCGAGAGCGTCGCCTACAATGATGAGTTCTACCGCGATAGACTGCGTTCGTTGCAGGGGGTGGATGAACTCGTGGAGGAGATCGTCCTCCGACTAGATGATGCGGGTATCCTGGATAACACGTATATCTTTTATACCTCGGATAATGGGTACCATATTGGTCAGCATCGGTTACATCCCGGTAAGGAGTGTGGATTCGATGAGGATATTCGTGTGCCGATGTTTGTGCGAGGGCCTGGGGTGCCGAAGGGCGTGGAGGTGAGCGCGGTGACGACGCATATTGATCTGGCGCCGACGATTCTGGATATTGTCGGTGGCGAAGCAGAGGGAGAGTTGGATGGAGTTGCGATTCCGTTGACGAGAGAGGAGATTCATGCTGCGGATGCGGATGGGGGCAGACATGAACATGTTAATGTTGAGTATTGGGGATGGGCTGGGTTTGAGGGTGCGTTTGGACGGGATGGTGAGTAGTATTTATTTTTTCCCCCTGTCTTATACTACTGCTTGTGAGGAAAGATGCTAATGGAGTATGATAGAGAACGGTGGACCGGCTACCTTCATCAATAACACCTACAAGGGGTTGAGGCTGATTAGTCCCGACTTTAACCTCTACTACTCTGTCTGGTGTAGTGGGGAACACGAACTCTACGATTTGACTGTATGCCACCCTCCTACCACCTCTCCTTTCCGTTAACTACACTGACATTATATGTACAGACGGATCCTTACCAACTGCACAACCTCTACCCAAACCTAGCAGTATCCAAAATAGGATCCTACTCGGCCGTCAAAATATCCACCCGTCTCGATGCCCTCCTTATGGTGCTTAAATCGTGCAAAGGAGATACCTGCATCCAGCCGTGGCGGACTCTGCATCCTTACGGGGATGTGCATAGCTTGCTGGATGCATTGGACAACACGTTCGATGGGTTCTATGTCCGTCAGGTCCGGGTGCAGTTCGGCTGGTGCGAGCATGGATATTTGCTCGAGGCCGAAGGGCCGCAGGTGCCGCTGGCATATCGGCATACGAGGTGGAGTGATTGGGTTTGATGGGGGTGGAGTACTTGCATGATCTCAAAAAGCAAAGGAAACGGCAAGAGTGATGCCTGGAAAAGTAAAATGCAGTGGAATAAAGAGTGATTTGTAAATACCGATTCCCAGATATTTGAGAGTGATATCATAGAAGATCCATATTTTATGCTTTTGAAGCTCACAATCCTATCTTTATTCTGCTGAACATTTGTAAATCTCCGGGAGCAACGCTTACAGCCGACTCTCCCTCCCTGGCTCACTCACCAACTTCACCTTCTGCAACGCATTTCCATCCTTGAACCCTCTCATCAACTCGTTCGACCCCTTCTCCCCAGCTCCCAACTTCCGCCACTTGACCAGCTCCAGTAGCTCCGATTGCACTTCCTCCACGCGATCCACCACCAACTGTCCCAACACCGGTAGGAATTTGAACCCATGTCCACTCCCCCCCGTAGCTACCATCACCCCCTTCTTCCCAGGCACCCGATCAATCACCCAGTGATTATCATACGAATCTGTGTACCAGCATAATCGCGTCTGCGAAATCCCGATCCCCGCCTCTTTCAACTCGGGTAAATACCGATCCAAGAACCCCTGAATCACCGAGACAGACTTCTCCGGTAACCCGGACACAGACGGGGCCGTCCACTTGGTGATCGGGGCACTGCGCACCTGTCCATCTAACTGCACCTGGGGATGCGTGTATTTCGTTCCGCGGTATCCGATCTTCAGCACCCCCCGGTCATCCAGAGGGAAGCCGTACAGGTTGCTATTCTCCCCGCTGCGCACGTTCCATTGGAAGACCGGGAAGTTGGATGCCGAGAATCGTTGGCGGAGTGGAGAACCCTCTGGGATTTGGATCATCGCCACGGATCCCGCGGTGGTTTCGCAGAGCCCGTCCATCTCTGGGACGAGGGTAGGTGTCCATCCGCCGCAGGCGAGGATGGTCAGGGCGGCGGTGTGGTGTTTGCCATCTGCGGTGCGGATCCCGGTTACCTCACCATTGGATTCGAGCAAACCCTCGAAGCGACCGGCTTGTCGATCTAAGATGAGCTTGACACCTAGTTGCTGCGCTAGGTGAAGTGCGTAGCGACATGCCTTGTCTGCGTAGACGAATCCCCCGATCATGTCGAGGTACCCGCTTGGTTGTTGTCCGTCGCGCGATAGGTGGAAGGGGTCGACAGCGTAGCCGTAGCCATCTACCTTGGCTCGGGTCGCCTCTTGCGGGTTGGAGGCAAACAGGTACTGAGTGTGTCCGAGGCCTGCTTTGGTCAGGTTCTCTACTGAAGCCTTTTCGAAGGGGTTCAGGCCGGCTGCGTCGCCGTGGTCGCCGAAATGGTAGTTGCCGCAGTTGACATAGATGCGTTCCTTGCTAGTCATTCCCGGGGGAAGAGTGCTTCCCTTGGCAAGAGACTCGTTCCATGTCTCCCATGCTTTGATTGCTTCGAGCGTGAAGTTCTGGTACCATGTTTCGTGGCCGTAGGCGGCCCGGATGATCTTGTTGCAGTCTACAAATTGTCATTAGTAGGGGAACATACTTTTGGTGCTGTGAGAATACCTGCAGATGCTGCATCACAGCCACGGTCAAAGTCGTAGAGCGTCTCGTGGTAGGGCTGACGGTCAAAGACGGTGACGTTGCGATACCCTCTCCGGACCAGATGGATGGCGCTGGAGAGGCCGAACACGCCCGCGCCAACAATGGCGATCGGGGCGGTCTTGTCGAGGGGAGTAGACATGGTAAATGTGCGGTAGATACACAGCGAAAGTTGCACGCTTATCAGGGCCAATGCGATTTATAGTCGAAGATTGGTTCAGACAGTGGCCGCTGCCAAGCTGTTGATAGGATAAAGTTGGTCGTGCGGAGAAGGGCACCCCCACTCTTTATTGCTGGTCACACTGATAACGCGGGGCTGCAGTAGACACGGGATGGATGGACCTTCCTGGAAGCAATGGAGAGGAGGAGGATGATGCCAGAAGGAAGAAGATGATGTGTTCCAGAGAGGGGTTATCTATCATCGCCATCGCTGGCATCGGGCTGGCCCGCCTGGGCTTCCCTTTGCGGCAATCCAACCCTGATATGCGTTGGATTTACTCCTCACGGCGGAATGATACGAAGAACAGCCAGTTTGATGCCATCTCCCATCTTATCTGTATGGTGGCATCAGGATCGATAAGTGATGGTGATGATATGCCATGTGATCGTTGTCACAACAGCGAAGATGATAGTGAAGTGAAGCATATATGCTCGGGCTGATCCCGGTCGTCCACCCAGTGGCCCTCTTTCGATGGAAGGAAACCCCTGGGAATTGTCTGAGGTGTATAGTTGACCACCGTCTCATTGTAGCCTTCACCAAAGCCAACCATGGACACGCAGAAAGACGACTACAAGTCACACGCTGTCGCAGAAGAAGCAGGCGTCGTAGTCGGGGACTCTGTTCCCATCGACGCCGCAGCAGAGCGGTCAGTCGTGCGCAAGCTGGACTTTCGGTACCTACTATACCCTCTTGCCTGCTAAAGAGATGCTGATCTGCAGACTGCTTCCCGTCCTCTCGCTCATGTACTTCTTCAACTCCCTTGACCGCTCCAACCTGGGGAATGCCAAAACGGATGGCCTCGAGAACGATCTCCACCTGGTCGGAAATCAGTATAATGTCATCTTGGCTGTCTTCAACGTCACCTTCTGCTTATTTGATCTCCCGTCCAACTTGATGTTGAAGAAATTCAGTGGAAAGGTGATGTTACCGTTGATGATGATAGGATGGTAGGTTACCCTTCTAGTAAGTATGTCCAACTTCGCTAATCATGACACCAGGGGTTCCATCACACTGCTGCAATGTGCCGTGTTCAACTTCGCAGGCCTGTTAGTCTGCCGTTTAATCATGGGGATCTTCGAAGCAGGATTCTTCGGTAAGTAGAACCCCCCGTTGCTCGTCTGCTTTACTGACCGCGTCAGCCGGGGTGATCTTCTACCTCACGCAGTTCTACAAACGCAACGAGATTGCCTTCAGACTGAGCATCTTCTACGGCATGGTCACCATCGCTGGTAAGTACCCCTCGCATAATAGCGTATTCTTCTAACCACTCAGGTGCCTTCTCTGGTCTCATCTCCTTTGGCGTCTTCCAAATCAAGCACCACCTCCCAGGCTGGAAGTACCTATTCCTCATTGAAGGCGGTGCCACCCTGATCATTGCATCCTTTGCGCTTTGGTGGCTCCCTGCCAGCGGCGCTCAGTGCCATTGGTTCAATGAAGCCGAAGCTCGCGCAGCCCAAATGCGCCTCTTACGGGACGGTTCAGTGCGGACGGGTGAGAAGCTCTCAATTACCGAGGCCTTGGCCGCGCTCAGTGACTGGCGCGTGCTAGCATGGGCTGTCAGCTGCTTCTGCTACGGCGTCGCTCAAACTTCCGTTAGTAATTTCCTGCCGCAGATGGTGGCCCTCCTGGGATATTCCACCATTAAGACGAATCTCTACACGGTGGCGCCGTACTGTGTGGGTACAGTCGTGCTCTGGATCATTTGTCTATCATCTGATCACTTCCGGGAACGTTCCATACATCTGGCAGGCTCGCTGATGATTACCTTTGTCGGGTATATCATCTTGATCGCGGTGGACGCGTCAGAGCACCAGGGTGTCGCCTACTTTGCCTGCTTTCTGCTGGCAGCCGGGGCCTTCGTGCCCAGCTCCGTCTTCCATAGTTGGCACACTAATAATGTCACCGACGAGTCGCAGCGTGCTGCTACTGTGGGATTCCTGGTGGGCGCGGCCAACTGTGCTGGCATCCCGTCCAGTCTGGCATTCAAGGCAGATACAGCCCCGCGATATAAGCCGGCGCTAATCGTCAACTGCGCGTTTCTTCTTTTCGGAGTGCTGGTGATCCTGGGGATGGGGACGTATTTCCGCTACGATAACCGGCGCCGCGATCGCGAGCAGGGGGTGAGACTCACCGCGGCGGACGTGTCGACCAAGTCGCTGGTGGGCGGGTGGAAGGATCCGAATTGGCGATGGACCGCATGAGGTCAGATATTGCAGACTATTATGTTGTTGTGGCCCTACAGTACGGCCATATGTAACCATGGGTGTGCCCGTTATGGCAGAACAAGGGTTTTCGACGTCGGCGTAGTAATAACCAATAAACCGGCTGAGATGAAGTCATTCAGCGGCCCGCTGTTTCAAGCTAGTCTCTTGGCCACGATAAACTCTGATAAGCATCTATGCTCTTCAATCGGACGAAGAATGATGCTTCCATTGTTACTGGCTGCAATAAGCCTCAGCTCCCCCGCGGAGAGGATCACCCGGACGTCCGAGCTGACTTTGGTGTACGACCCCAAAACCGGACAGCTTGACTACGGCGACAGGGGTTGAGCCAATCTATTTGTACAGCGTGTTTCCCAACGGACGACCGTTAGGGCGGCTGATGCGCCCCATGATTCGCCGGGAATGACCTTATCGGGGCTTATCCTGAGCTGTTCGAAAGGCTGACAGGCACCAGGGATATGCAAGCCATAGCAAATTCAAAAGTGACATCCATGCTTCCCCCTCTTTCTTTCTCATTTCCTCTATGAACCGAATCGGTTCCATGTCTCATCATATCCTTTCCTCATGGCTGCCAGCGAATACACGCCTCTACTCGAACCCTCCACACGGCCGCAAGACCGGTCATCGCGATGGCGGGTTCTGGCATTGATCTGTTTCATTGTCCTGATCCAGGACTTCGCTGAGTATCTCTCTCAGGCGCCCCAGACCGAAATTTGGCTCGAGGTCGTCACTCGCAAGTTCTGTCCTGTAGGGCAGGATGGGCCGGAATGTCAGATGGACCGCGTGCAGAGGGAGGTAGCCCTCCTGCAGGGCTGGAAGGATACGCTGGAGCAGGTCCCGGGTGGGGATCATTCTCTTCAGTTACCTGGAAGCTCGACTAACACATACTAGGTATACTGTTTGCAGTCCCCTATGGCGTGCTGGCCGACCGGATCGGACGTCGACCGGTCTTGCTTCTATGCGCGGTGGGATTCACGCTGAGCGATACGTGGACCAAGGCTGTCGGTGAGTGCAGATACTATAGATTAGAACCTGCTAGGTCTCCATAACTGATGCTGTTGATTACCGTTCAGGCTGGTTCTCCGATCAGCTCCCGCTGCGACTGATCTGGCTTGGTCCGATAGCTCAAGTGTTGGGTGGCGGCACGCAAGTAGCCACCTCCATTATGTATGTCATACTCGCTGATCTGTTCAGCGACGAAGAGCAGTAAGACACCTCCATTGCCCTAGTGGATGTTTGCCTAGCTCACAGAGTCTAGGATCACGGCATTTCTCTACGTATCGGCCACGGTGCTCGTCAGCGAGATTCTGGCCACCCCGCTTAGTGCCCTGCTCATGACGAAAAACATCTGGCTACCGTATCTACTATCACCGGCTTTCAATGCTGGTGGTGGCCTCCTTTTGTTCCTCTTACCGGAGACACTACCACGGACCCCACCCGGCCAACCGTCGTCCTCGGAGCAGGCACCACAACGACAGACTTTCCGGGGGCGCATCAGATCTGGAGTTGACGAGCTGAGCCGGTCAATTGCTGTGATTTGGCGACATCGTCCGGTGCAACTATTTCTGGTGGTGTTTATTGCGTATCTGGGAATGCAGGTGATGAAACTGCTTCTGCTCTTTGCTGCCGACCGGTTTCATTGGACAATTGCGCAGGTGAGTGGGACTAGAAATAAGTAAAAACGATATGGCCAGACCTAACATTTGTTTCTAGGCCAGCTTCCTCATACCCGTACGAGGGTTTACTAGACTACTCCTGCTTCTCGTAATCCTGCCAGGCATATCGCGCTGGCTCATACAGCGACGGCGCATGTCCCCATTCACCAAGAACACTAGACTGGCTCTGACGAGTAGCGCTTGCATGGGCGTAGGATGTCTGCTAATTGCGCTGTCCAGCCATCCGGCGGGCGCAGTTTTGGGGCTGGTCGTGTATGCGCTCGGTTCGGCAATGCACCTATTTGCTCGGCGCATTATCACCTCGCTCGTTGACGCGCATCACATGGGTACGCTGTATACGGCGATTGCGGTGATGCAGGGAATCGGAGTATTGGTAGCTGGGCCAATGATGGCGACAGCGTATGGCTGGGGATTGGCCCAGGGTGGAGTGTGGACGGGGGCGCCGTTTTTGCTGGTGGGTGGACTTTATGGGGCGGCTGGGTTGGCAATCCTCCTGGGAAGTTGGGAGGGCTGCAAGGACGATCTGGAGGATGGAAGATGCAGCGAGACTATTGGCTAGGACAGACACATCATCGCTACTTTCACAGCACTTTTAGTCTAGTATAAAATAAGCAATTGTGGTACCTAGTTTGACTGAAGCTTGACAGTTTTAGTTCATTGTTGAAGCGCTGGACCGACCACTAGAGAGGCATATCGGGAGGGATAAAAATAGATCCCCCTATAGTAAGTAGATACGTCCTGGGGATCATCGATGTTTACCGATTCCCAGCTGTTGGGGGGTGATGCGAAGATTATCTGTAACTGGGAAGCCATCACAAGTGGTTCGCTGTAGAATCATATCTCATGACGCGAGCTTTTATCCACAAGGAAAGTGCAATATCCCGTCGTCTCTGATGGATGCTGCGATGAAGAGGCAATTCGGAGATTGTGGGCGATTGTTGGTGCCTGGCCACTAGCCCTGTTCGGGTTGATTTGCTGCCTTGCTGGCCTCACCCGCTCACCTGATCGCACCTGATCGATCCATTCCGAATAACCTCATGAAGACTCTTTACCTCTCTCGCTCCGTCTGCATGGAATCAAGCACTCCAAGATTAATCATCTCTCAGCTTATTCTTCATCCACCCAAATCGGCATCTGCATACCTGTCAAGCCTTTCGTGACGATCATCAAGATCATGAAACCCACCGCCAATCACTGCCACTTGCACGGCGCCCGATCCTTGGAAATCGCCGTGGCTGTCCGACGGGCTTGATTTGCCAACGACGCGTCTTTCCCCCCGGGCTAGCGGCCACTAGTCTATCCATCGAACTCCATCCATGGCTTCCCTCGGCGAATCCAGCCGCCGTTTCGCCCAAGCCCGGCCCCCACTGGTCATCAGTCGGTTCCTGTTTCAAAGCTGCTATTTTTTGCTCCTGGCCTTTTTCTCTCTCTCCTGACCCACCACACGTCCAGTCCAGGCTGATTTGATTCCCGACGCCGCCGCCGCCGCCGCTGCCTCGCCCATCGCTCTTTCTCCTGAACCGTTGCTTATCCTTCCACTAGACCACTCCGCCCTTCTCCTTGTCCGTCCTTACTACCTCCACCAGCATACTCTCGTTTCAACGCTTTGTCTTGCTTTCTTTCATCTCAGTCGCCCACCATGCAGTTGAAGTCCATCATTCTCGCTTTGGCTTTCAGTGCCTTCGCTCAGGCTGCTACTATTCATGGCTACTCCGAAAAGGACTGCAAGGGGACCAACCCCACAGATTCCAGTAGCTCAAAGACAGATACGTGTCTGACCCTGGAAGCGAGCAATTCCAAGTCCCTCAAGGGTAGCCCTGGTGACTACGTCCTTACGGCATTTGCGGAAACGAGTTGTAATGGCAACGGCTATGCCCTGCCGCCCGGCAAGTGTATCAACGGCGACAAGTTCACGACCTACGAGGTATGTGCCTTGAGAAGGATTTGATACGGGTTACTCTGGGGTTGCTAACAGAACCGAACTATCTAGGTCCAATTCATTCCCATCGCCAAGCGAAGCAACGCAACGGCCCTGCTGGAGTTGTACGCCGACTACTACGCCGAATTCCCCGAGGAGGCCGAGGAGCTTAAACGCCAGCTGAACGAAGCGTAGGGGCAGAAGATGGACGCCACTGTACAATGAACCTGTGGAACTCTGCATAGTTGAATGCCTCGATTATTCTTTTTGAAGTGTTTGGAGTTTGGGATACCATATCTGCGACATTATTACTAGCCCCATGGCACGGATGACAATGCAAGCTATTCTCGTTTCCACTGGAGTCACATGGCAGGAACACTGGTGTCTACAGATGATCGGTTAGATTGAAAACCTGCATTGCCATGTTGCAGGTCGGATGGGATGCGTTTGGAATGGAGCCGATCCGGATGGACATCAAATGACTTGCCGATTTCTGGACTTCATGCTTCTAGCAGGCCATGTATCGTAGCTCGTCAATTACATGAAATGGCCTGGAAAAGCGATTCGGTAGAAACTGGTGAACCGGCCTAGGAATTGGACCCTTCAGCGCCACTTCAGTGACTGCATGTCCAAAGAAGTGAAGATGGATCAAGTCCTATGAATGCTAGGCTTGGAATGTGTAGAGCGGAATGGTGGTCTTATTAATCGTCGAGAAGACATTTAGGATCTGATCACCATGGACGCTTTGGACGAGATGGTGCAGACAGCAGAATAATTGTAATTGGATTTACTGTTAGCAAGCACCGACCGGTCTACGATCAACAACAATTACAAAACGATCGCATAAGCGGATGGACTTTCATTTCAACTATCGAGAACTCATTGCTTCAATATTCATTCTGGTTTCAGTTCGGACAGAGCAGCCAGCAACAAAGAAACACTATGATAATGCAATCTTGAAGAGGATTGTCTCAACCCGCCATGGAGATAGCTTAAATAGATCTACCTCTAGCAGAGCAGCGCCGACCACTCCTCTTGAGGCCCAGTATACTCGGCCGTCGGGTCCGCCAACCACCACAGCCGATCGGGCGAGGTGAGGATCATATACGCACTGATGATGTTCATGCAGCTGCAGTCCGTATACTTCTTCTCATACGCCTCTCCGATGGCCGGCACCCGCTCCTGCCAGGTCATCGCATCGTAACCCTGGCATCTCGGACACTCCTTGAAGTGGAGCACGCAATGCTGGAGCAGGTCATCGTAGCGTTGCGGGTTCTGGCACCGGTCTCGCAGTGAATAGTTCCCTGGCTGGGCACTGCGTCCCACGGCCTTCAACATGGGATTCATGGCATTGAGCACCGCATCGCCGTACGGATCCACCCCGACACCGGGACTGTTCTTGTGCGGAGGCATCAATTTGTCCAGCAACAGCCCGGTCTGATACCGCGCCATGTAAATCTGCCAGGCCAATTCGCGCCCTGCCAGATGAATAGCCCACAAGGCGCCGTTGTCGAGCGCCCACGCCCAAACATCAATGCAGAACCGTCGCACCATGGCCGTGCTCGGCACTCCTTGGTGCACGCTGACAATGGTTAACAGATTGTAGTATTCCTTGGCCATATTATCATGTCGATAGTCGCAGATATCATGCATGACGGTGGACGCAAACGAAATGGCGTCGACTTCCTCGTCCGTGCCGACGATCTGCGACTGTTCCAGCTGCGCATGCAGGGCTAATGCACGGCCCGCCGAGTTGATCAGCCGGTAGCTGATGCTCCGCCGCTCGTCGTTGGGGAATTTCAGCTGTTGCGCTTTGGGGTGCAGCACGTCCAGATACACCGACTGCACGCACATCAACCATGCATCCATGATCTTGCGATGCGGGCCGGGTCCGTGGTCTCGGTGGACATGCTCGATGTACTCGCTGACGCGCTGGGTGCAGATGTCCAACACCACGGGCAATTCGCCGAGGAAGTGGAGATAATCTGGGAAGCAGGCCAACATGCCGGCACTGCAGCTTCCGTGCACGCATTCATGACAGAGTTTGGTGTTGTCGGACAGACACCAGGTAAAGCCGTAGACTTGCTCTGCCACGGCGTGCCAGAAGGGGGTGTCTGGGACGTCGAATGACTCTCTCAGGGCACGAAGGAGATACTCCCCACGAGGCAGGAAGCCCAAACGGCTGGGAGCCGCTGTGGCGAGGAGCTCGGGATCAGGAAGGTCCTTCAGATCCCGGGTCCAGGCCAGACATTCATGGAAGATGGCGGCCCGCATGTGTGGATCATAGATGCCCACGGGGTTGCGAGCATCGAACAACTGCAAGCCAATGGTGGGCTTCCAGGCCTTGCGAAGATCAGTTACGATCCTCATGTCTTCGGAGAGCTGACCGGCTACCTTCTCGAGGGGAGGGTAGAGGTCAGGTCCGAAGAGAGCAGTTTGAGTGGCAGTGGCCATTGCGAGGGCAGCGAAAGGAGAAAGGTAGAGTTTTTGATGGATACAACGAAGAGATTGAGTGCTTGCTGATGATTGATTACTTGTAAGAGTTCAATCTTGATGGATATAAGATCAAAGGACTGTTTGGAAAAAGGGGTCCTTATATACCTTTCCTCGAGTCCTCCGGATTCCAAGCAATCCCGATGACGTCCTAATGGCGAAAAGCGCTTTGACAATGGATACATATTGCTTCCTGTACCGTGCTAAGATGGGTATACACCATCGGCTAGAAGTCCTGTGAAGGTAGGATTGAGCAGACTTGGATGGGTTGTCGCACGGCCCTAAGAAGAACGTACACTATCCCGTTGTGGCAATTTGGATGAGTCTGAACTCCACCAGGTCGTGCGGTACTACGAAGATGGTGCAAAGTCTACGTCCGGAGGGAGAAAGTTCAAGGAAGTGGTTGCTCTTTCGTGCGATACGCTAAGGAGCTACGCGGTCGACTCGTACTACATCCAGTGATAGCCCAAGATGGTTTTCATGGAAGATGAATTCCACGGTCTCATGGTTTCGCGATTCAGCCAATACTCGTCAAGGAACATTACCGCATGAAGTCCCGCCTCTCGCAAGGGTGTCTTTAACGGAGGTCTGTGACCGCTAAAGCTATCGAGAACGTGCTATCAGGTTCCCTTTGCCTTCTCAGCGGCGGGTGCCCAGGTGCCTTCGTAGATAGAGGGCACACAAAATCTGCAAGACCACGCGCACAATGGGGCAGGTAGGCGAAAATACGGTGAATGAATCAACGTCAATCTTGGATGGTATGTAGTGGCATCCCAGCGCCTGTTCTCAGTGTTTTTCTGCTCAACCTGGCAGTTCTGAACCCTACAAGACAGTCCAGGTTGGTGCCATGCAGGTGCCACGGAACCTGCAGCGGCACAACCGTGGAGCAGCATGAGGAGGGCCGTCATCTCACAAAGAGGTACTTGCGGGTGTTTTGCCAGATTTTCAGAGACTAGAAAGTCGACGCCTGATGTAGATACCTACTCCATCGAGGAGGACTATTGCACCAAAGAGAATCAAGGACATATCTACTTAGACGTTCATACTCGTATTGCTCAAGCAAAGTTGGAGATCATGTGTTTAATTCGTCGTTATCCGGCTGACGTATTCACCCAAGCCCGGTTTAGAGCAATGCTATTCTCTCTATCTCTATAGAGACTGTTGTAACGACATGACCACCTGCCAACAGCCACAGGTTAGAAATCAAACACCTCAGTGCTTTGACTACACAATCTGACATATACGATGCTTCTTCTATCCGAAACCATCATGAATCAGGACAACGCAAGTGCGCAGACGGATATTGAACAAGACGTGAGTCAGGATGACATCTGTGCGCTGCGTAAGGGACATATTCCCTGAGGATTACAATACACACAACACACGATCATCAAAAGAACTTCTGTAAAGGGGTGTTCTGTAATGTAGAGTCCTTGGCGGTTCCTTGGAGCCTGTAGTGCTCATTTCCCAGAATAGGATAAGAATAGCAGATCGCATTATCTTCATGATTCAAACTCATTCAGTGTACCACGCATGGTGCGTCGTTTGCGTGTCATGTTCTCCGAGAAAATCAAAATCAGAGCTCGAAGCAGGTTAATAACATAGCCACAGCATATAAGCTGCAATACTGCTGCAGCAGAGCCAGATTCCCTTACATGCCCGTTTTGACCCGTTCACTGACCACATGTTATTCGAACTCCTGCATCTAGAACCTGTTTCTGCATCCTGTCGGGGTGTATATCTATCAATAATGTATTTGACAAACTCCTGTCTTCCAATGGCCGTCTTGCAATGAGCAAATCCCGAGAGTATGTACTTCTGTCCTGCAGCACACGCTAAAGCGTAAAAATAGCCCTCACATCGCTGTAGAAGCGGGGATCGGCATTTTGCGGTGAATATCGACACTGTACCGTGAAATGCTCCATCAATTGAGATACAGGCAGTTCCCAGTCAGTTTCGAACAAGATAGGAACTCTGAGAGCACGCAAGAAAATCATGTAAGTCGACCCCACCGATCATCACACGAACAATTTGCTTTGCTTATTAGTGGATACAGAGTACGGTTCCACTATTACATCCTAGGGCCGATAAAAGTTATGGAGAAGGTCCGTTGAAAGTCAGATTAAGAACTCGTCATTGTTTTGGAGATCGTTGCCTACACCTCCATACCATAGGCGTTAAACTGTATGCTCCACCCGTCAAGAGCTGGAACTGCCACGCTTGGGCCTAGGAGGGGTAACCGACGCGCCCTGCGCATGTAATATCCGTCCGAGATGCAACTGGGCCCTGAGTGGCCCCTAATCCCATTCCCGGGTCTTGAAGGAATGCAGCCACGGGGAGCACAGTCACATGCATATACGCATGAAAAGTAACATGTTTGATTAGAGCGATCCTTATTCCGTGCTCCACGTCACGGGGTTATTGAGTCTTGATATCTTGATATTATCCGAGTGAGACTCGGCGGCAAGGCTCGAGGTTGTGTCATGCCCGCCTCGTCGTACTCTGGTTGGCTTCAAGGACCATCAATCCTGATAAGAAAGCGAAGACAGGAAAACCAATGGCTTGAACTACACTTGTGTTGTACGAATCTACCGGTTGACGTCACATGGATCAGGCAGCCCTCTTCCCCATACACTACAAGGCTATCGGATACGCAAGGAGTAGAAGCAAGGTGGATATCTGGTATGCTTGTACCGCTCTGTCCATCTGCGTACGTCTATTTTCGGCCGAACAAATCACGTGAAATGCGTTTGGAGGTAGTTACTCTGTAGTGGCATATGCAAGCAGCTAGGGACCCGAGGAAACGCTGAAACAGATGTTGTTGGAACGAAAAGGTCAGGGAAACCGGAATACATTGTAGAGCATCGCTGTATACACCACGTCGCGCCGCATCGCATCACAGTTCCACCATGGCCAACGTTCAGAAATTAGTGTGCACGGATCGCTTCGGTACCAGAAAGCTGGACTCAGTGGGCAGGTGAAGATCCAAACCTTCCCGAGCCATGAAAGATCAGCATCTCCACTTTGGGAAGATCACAGGGGATGGCGCCAATGACGCTTACCAGTCAGGCCTCCTCCCTTGCGGGATGTGCTGAACGGCTGACCCCTTGGCGCATACGTCTTCTGCCCATGGGCGCATCCTGGACCATGTCTTCAACCGCTGAATTGCTCTGGAAGATACGACCGATGGCAGCCAGACCCACCAAGAGAGTGAGCGGCAATATGGTGATAGTGCACAGAGATGGCTCGCCAGAAGCGGCACACGAAGCCAGGCACACTGTGCTCGCCAAAACTGCCGAGAAGCTCATGATGAGGGCTGTGCTAGTGGAAATTGGGGTACCAACGTTTAGAGAGTGGAAAGGGAAGTAAAAGCTCGGGGTCCGTGTCAATAAAAATCAGATTTGCAACTACGGAGGCAGAAGGGAAAGGATGAGGCTAGATTTATAATGAACTTCTTTGCAGATGATGTGATGGACATTACGGCTATTTTATCCTCTCTATCGACCATGTTGGACGTCAGCATAAATACAACAGTCAAAAGGCAGTAAAGTTAAATTGCAACATGGTCCTTTTGAAGACTTCGTTCGTACTTTATCACATCCGGTTTTGGAACAAAGTTCTGTTGGTGCATTGGACATGCCTTAACGGGAAATTTTCCAAAGTTAGTACCTCTGCTGAACGAAGAATTCCTTGAACCTGCAAGACAACGATGGATGACAAATAGCAGACCCACGAGGCACCGCCTGCATTGAATCCTGCAGGGCTGGAAAGGCGGAAGATGGCAAGATGCATAGAGGAAGCATACTCGCTCAGCTGGCTACCCAACCACCGTGGAGGACTGTTCCAGCCAGGATATGGACATAATCAAGTTGTCCGGCTCAAACAAAATCGCTCATGACTTCCAGCTCCTAAAACCTAAAATGTACGATTTGCGCACTTTGATGATTCTTGACGTCGGAGAATTATAGACAGTTTCCGGTCAGTTGGGATGAGGATGGGCACTTATGCGCGCCTGGCGGAGTTTGTAGAGCATGGACCCCATTCGGACATTTAGAGAATGCTTTGGTCATTTCAGGTGTACTCTTCGTATTCTAAGTTATTCTACTCTGATAGATCTAGATGTTTGGTCTGCAGAACTTATATTATTTTAAATGCCTCTGGAACCCTCATGGCCTACTAGCTGTTGGATTCATCATACTGCATCAATCATCCACGTTCCCTGTTGGTGGCAATCCCATAGCAAGGCATTAAGAAATCCGCAAGACCTTGATGAAAGCACATATCTGACGCAGGCAGCTTCTAGAACACAATACGTGCGCCTTACGCAGTCAATGCACAGGCTCATAATCAGGGTTTGGAATACGGAGTGGTGGGGAAATTGTATCTGGGGATGATGGTGACGTTCATTGGTGGCTTAACGTGTGATTATATTCAGATTAGGCTCAGAATAATTCTCACGACGCTCAATCTGGAAGTACCTGGTGTCCTCGGTGTGAAGAGAGAAAGGGTAGTATGACAGTGTATCTAAATATCTATCATGGTCTATTCGAACTTCTACCAAATGCAAATGTCTATAGCGAACGTCTAAGCAGTTAGTCGGAAGAGAAACCCCCGTTAAATGCATACCCCATTACAGGCCCTGCCTCAGTCATAACCGTAGCACAGGTAACCTCCCTGGGTGTTCATCACCTCGGCAATAGTGATGTTAGGCATGATGTTGAACGAGGAGAGTTCGTAGTGAAGGGTAGCGTTCTGCCAACCTCCAGCTGGTTCCACGTTGGCCGTGTGATTCAGAGTCGGACCGCTGATGTCGTACAACCGGTTGATGGGATCTTGCTGCTGCCACTTCCACCAAACCCGATCAATGTACATGTGGTGCATGAAGAAGATCGGGTCGCCGGGCGAGCTCTTGATATCTGCCATCTGTGCATTTCGTCAGTCAGTATCCTGCATACGGCTGGATTCTTACTAGGAAGTGTCACATACCACACCACCAATGTAGGTGTGTACACCCTTGTGGGGAATGTTGGAGATGCAATTCCACCATGGAGCATAGGTGTTGTAAGCATTACACATCTCTAGCACGGTGCTGTTGGCGTTGGCAATCGCCTTCTCGGTGTTCCATGCGCGGCGCAAGCAGTAGTCCGTGTCTTCATCACCCGGCCCAATGTGCAAAGTGAGGTTGGAAAACCGACCATCGCGCACACAGTTGTCGGACCCGGTACCATTGCCTCCAAAGGCATCGGCTCCCCACATCGATGATTGCCACATGTTGCCGCTATCGGCATCCTTTTGCTCATCCCACCAGCTAGAACGATCTCTGTTAGTCTCCTGGGCTAAGAGAATGCCCCACAGGGAAATGGGAAAAATTGCTTACGGAATAGGACCGTCGTATCCACACTCGTTACGAAGCAGGGCCTCGTAGATGTGCATGTAGTAGCGGTGCCAGGGGAGGAATTGTCCCTGACCAGGCTGTTAGTGAAACAATAGGCTTATCGCGAGCCATTCAGGTTGACCTACCACATGGTGGATGATATCCGCATACGCCGTGTTGGTCATTCCACGGTGAAGGGCCTGGAGGTCACTAAACCGACTGGTCGTTGCTGTCAGACCGGATTCGGCTGGCTTGTTCATCAAGCATTGAACCGAGTCCAGAAAACTGTTCTGCTCGTGCGTGGTCAAGTGGCGCCATTCCTTGCGGACAGTCATCTTCTCGCGAGTGCAGTTGCGGCTGAAGAATCCGGGAATATCATACGAAGTGGTCTCCGTGTGGTCAGTTTTCATAGATGAATGGGGGACTGCAGCAGCAGAGGTAGTGGCTGCCAGAGCCAATGCTACCAGGAACGAAGGGAACTTCATCCTGTGAAGTGGAGTAGAGGAAAGGTTTCAAAAGATAGAATTATAAGATGGAGAGAGCGTGTGATGCAGAGAAAGAGAAAAGATGCTAATGAATGTGAAAAATAGGGTGATACTTGAAAGAAAAGAAATAGAGAATGAATGACAACCTAAAGAAAGGAGACTTCGACATCACAGCTGTGATCCATGGGCTTTATACTTCTCATCGTTGGAAACCGAGAGACCCGACAAACATTAAGGGAACCTTCAAAAACATCCTTTCATTCTGCGATCGGCATTTAAGGGTATGAATTGGGAAAGGTCTCGAAGATTTGTTCCATAAGGCTGGCAAAGCCGGTGACATGGGAATGGAGGAGCATACGTCGAACGGTCCACATCAGTGATGATAGCGGATTGTATTTCAGGAAGCCAAGGTTTCAGCCACACCCAGACCAAAACATATTGACTTCCTTCTGACTCGGCTCCTGGCGTCTTTTAGCGACAACGAAGGGCACAGGTTGTTGAGACGGGCGAGCACATAATCCTGGACACTACATAATGGTAACACGGATACAAGATGATCAGTCAAGTGGACGCTTACCACAAGCATCGAATTTACGCACGCTCTACAGAGAACTTTGAAGAACAGGGGAGGATGGGAAAGGATACTCTATAGTTGGAGACATTCATCAGACACGAGTGGATGTGGAGCAACGCTATTGACTATTCACGGATTGCCTCCGGCACGTACGGAAGGCAGGCACCTTAGATGGACCCAATGCCGGTGAAGGGATCTTGCTCGGTGGCAGTCAAACGCGCAGTTCTCACTACGCTGACCGAGAGTTGCGGTTATGCAATATTCCGACAAACAGCGCTGCACATGGGAATAGCTTCAGCAAGTGAGCCATTCGTAAGGCGCCCCGTCGGGAATACGTAGGGCAGGCTTGGCACGCCCCAGGCGAGGGCCATTGACGCGCGTCGGCACTCAGCCGGTCAAGCTTCGCCTGGCGAAAAGCTAGAAAAAGCTAATCGCCAGTAGAGCGATAGGGACTAGATAGTAGATACAGTGGTGGATCAACCAAGGGGTCACTGTCACTGTCACTGTCAAGCAGCAGATTATCTCGATTCTCGATGGCAGCCGACCAATTTGCCGACCCACTCTGGCCCACCGATAGAAAACGGCAACGATCGACTCAGAAGGTTTGTAGTGCTCCAGTTCTATTTATTCCCTTGTTGAGTCTTGACTCGAGAACAGAATGAAAGATGCTTGTAGCGCAGGTTTATCTAGGGAGAGCGGGATGCATGGCAGCAAACTCTGCGGCGGAAGCTGAACTGCTGGTGGAACCGCACTTTCAATGCTAGGGCTCCGCCGAACAAAATCTTCTCATTGTTGATGAAGCCAAGATCTTATCTTGAAAAACTGCCCAATTTTTTAGACACGGGCATGTTAAGATGATTAGGTCAGCGGCTCCAATGCGCCAATCGCATCCCTTGCTTCAGAGACGGGGTTCTTCGTTGACCAGAGCAAACAGTCAGTGTGGGTCGGCATCCATACTATCGATGACCCAGGAGTCCAGGACCAACCCGGTGGGCTGCAGGTGAAACCTTCGGTTCCGCAGAGATGTAAATACACTTGCAAGCGATGGCAAAAGTCAGTGGGGGCATAGGCTGTATATCGAAGGTCCGGTTAGCAGAGTGGCAATGAACCGCCCTGAGAGCAGAGATTTCAAAAGCTGCTTAATAGTGAGCAATTTCTTAGCCTTCATCTCTCATATTGGGAAGCAGGTATTTAAACGGGTTGTCACACAATCGATCCTTTATGTCCTCCGGGGTATTTAGTATGTATGTGCGAGTGATGCATTCACACTGCGAGATCATTCATCATGAGGCGTATAAGCTTCTCTTGGCACGAAAGGACCGGCCTAGAGCCACGTGAATTCTATGCAAGCCATCCAAACACGTTGTAGGCCGGTTGTTTTAGAATGGCAGTCCGATCCACCTGAATACGAGAAGGCCTGTGATCCGTCAGCTGTCCTTCCACAAATGCGTTGGGAGGCTTTTTGTATCCTACCCCTGAGTAAGCGAGCTCATGAGTACTCCTCTTTATCAGGGCGCAATACGGATTTCGATAAAAAAATGTTGGTTTAGTAGCAGGCAGTGCCGGCTACTTTCCAGAGATGGGAGTTACTTTTGCCTTACCTCCTCCTTTTCCTGAAGGTCCCTTCAGGGATGGCGTATTTTGGCTTGCTGCCTTTCGTTCTCCATTTTTGGTTGTCAGGAATCACAATTAAGATGTGAGTGCCTACCACCTACGAGTGATAAGACTGGGGACAAGTCTCAGGCAAGAGGTTGGCTGAAGACTTGGTCATTGTCGATGGCTCAGCGCAATCAACCCGTGGGCATGCAAAATGGGCGATGAGATTGATAATAACAGTGATCATGTCAACAGCACAATAACAAACAAGCCTTTGCCTAGGACTTGGCGTAATTTATCACGGGTCCCTACATGCCGTTGCCTTGAACTGACATGATCTTCTTTATCAGAAACCAGCCAGGGGAACAATGACTTATTGCCTTATAAGCCGGTTCATGATAAGGCAGACCAGAACATGCTGAAATGTGTCGATAGTCGAAACTTCAACAAATAGACCTTCGCGTCTCGCTGCCATGGACTGTTTGCACCTAGATGTAAACGGTGATCGCCAGACCGGCAAGCTGCCACCCTCTTCTAGCAACGATTGACGTCGGGTCGATCTTCGGTACCGGTGACTTCAATCTATACCTGGCAATACACATCGTGGACCTTGTGGGTCGATCCGGTGCCTATCCTACTGATGCCGCTCATGTTAGCATCTCAAAAGCAGTATGAACCGTACAGTCGAATCGAACCTGATCTGCGGCAACTCCACACAACTCAGCGGTCTCTCCACGTGTTCTGGGCAGAATCGCTGTCTTCTCCCGGCCATTCATCCCACCGCAAGACTGAGCTAGATGCAATGCTAGATGCAATGGCCCGTTCTGGGTGCTTAAAGATTACAAAGTTCGTCCACATGTCCAAATGATTGGACTGATACGGCCTAGCCACAACATACTCATCTGATTTCTGTCTATCGGTGCATAAGCAGTCAAAAGAACCTCGCACGGGAAGTTGCCAAGTCGTGGAGACGGCGCCCCCAGTCGTGTGCTTCGAGTCACCCTCAATAATCAAGGACCACGAACAATTCAGGCTTGCGGGATTTCTGTTTTGGAAGATCATGAGCGAACCCGACCTTCCAATGGTATAGGGCCCCTGATTCCATCCAACTGAGCTGATGTCGAATGTGCGCGGGCATCTGTTCCCCATTTGGGCAGATATCCGCTTAGCCGTTGTGAATGATCCCCGAATTCTCCGGTCTTGGAACCATATGCCCTCTGCAATGAAAATATCAAAGCCGGACAGCGGTAACAATGATAAGAGATGCAGCATGAATTAATCCGCCGTGATGGTGACGAGGCGGCGTCATCCATGCTTTGAAGCGGGGCTGAAGATGTTGGCGCCGGGGATGCAGTGGATATCCCGACGGACTCCGGCCCGTTGCCTTTTAGCCACGCCTGACCCCTCATGCCGGTAGTTACGCCTCTTCAGGGGATGTAATTCAGACTGCTAACGCGTTTTTCACCTGGGGACAGACTGAGGTGCGTGAAATAAGTGGCATTTTTCGCATAAAAGCAGTGTTCTACTGCTCCCCAATATCCAACATTTGACGTCCAGCCCAAGTCCTTACAGTGGACCAAAACCCACTTCCCTTGGTGTTTGATTGCATCTCGTTGCCGATAGACAAGTGGATGGTGTGAAGGCTAATTTAATTGATTTCTCCGGAGTTTGCAGGTTCGGCAAGGCACGAGCCATTCAATGACCCCCATTCTTCATCCTAAATGAAGTTTATCTGCCACACACGGGACGATCCCCGCAGAGCCAATAGATTGTTTCTCTCGTTATCATCACGCCATGACCACACGTCGTCACCGTTGAGGATGATAGTCTGATGGCCATTCCGCTTGAGGCAAAGTGTGCCCCAATGTCACGCGGTCAGCTAGTCTTCTGCAGGTCTGCAGTTGGACAGGGGAACTTGAGTGCTATTATCGCCAAGGTGAATGTTCTCTACCGCTTTGATACCAGAGTGATCGTCCCTTTTGCCGTCACTCTTGGTGTTGCGAAGCAGATGTCGTTCGTTTGCATATGGGAGCCGAAGATCCACGCAGGGTGCTTGAAAAGACATACTGCGATCCTCCCGTTTCCAAGAATGCTTGTACACTTGAAGTTTTTGTCAAGATCCCCCCGCCTGGCCAGTCCCGAGCTAAGCGAAATGAGCTTTCCCTCAATGCTGCAGACAGGAGACACCATCGCTTTGGCGCCTTGGCACCATCAGCCACCGTCGGTCCTATCATCATCGCCCTGGTCAATAGGGAACGCGTCAATTGCGTATCTGGGTAGTGTTATCTGCTCGATATTGCACCGGCAGAGCAGGAATCGGGATTGGCGGATGTAGAGAAAATTCAGCTTCAAGGAGGGGGGAAGGGAGACGCTGAAATGGTATAAAACCACGTCCAATTCCCTACCAGATAGCCCTCATCCAGCAGCATCAAAAGCATCTTCCACTCAGACTCCAAGCAGCTCCCAGTCCCTCTTCAATTCATTACCTTCCAAACATCATCCCATCAAGATGAAGACTACTGCTCTCTTGACCGCCGGCCTGCTGGCCACCACTGCTATGGCCGCTCCTCTGACGGCCAAGCGCCAGGCTGCTCGGGCCAAGCGCTCCACGAACCGCCAGAGCAACCCTCCCTTCAAGCCTGGCACCAACGAGGTCCTCGCCCTTAACGGCACCAAGAATGTGGAGTACAGCTCCAACTGGGCCGGTGCCGTCCTCATTGGCACTGGTTACACTGCCGTGACCGCCGAGTTCGTCGTGCCCACCCCCTCCGTGCCCTCCGGTGGCTCGAGCCGCGAGGAGTACTGTGCCTCCGCCTGGGTGGGCATTGACGGTGACACCTGTGACACTGCTATCCTCCAGACCGGTGTGGACTTTTGTGTCCAGGGCAGCGAGGTGAGCTTCGATGCCTGGTACGAGTGGTACCCCGACTACGCCTACGACTTCAGCGGCATCTCCATCTCGGCCGGTGATACCATCAAGGTCACCGTCGATGCCAGCAGCGACACCACCGGTACTGCCACGATTGAGAACGTGAGCACTGGTACCACGGTCACCCACAGCTTCACGGGCGGTGTTGATGGTGATCTGTGTGAGTACAACGCTGAGTGGATCGTCGAGGACTTCGAGGAGGATGACTCCCTCGTTCCCTTTGCCGACTTTGGCACCGTGACTTTCACCAGCTGCTCCGCTACCAAGGATGGTTCCTCTGTTGGCCCTGAGGATGCTACCATCATCGACATCGAGCAGAATGAGGTGCTGACCTCCGTTTCCGTCTCCAGTAGCGAGGTCGTTGTCAAGTACGTCTAAGACGTTGGATGTATGGGGTTCGGGATTGTTGATGCCCCGATGGGTGTGCTTTCGACGGCAATGGTGAGATGAGTGATGGAAATGAGAGGTTGGTCTTTTGGCCCGGGGCTAGTTTTCTCTTGGTACTCCTGAAAAGCCAATAGTTCAAATGTCTTTATCTTGTTAGTTTGATGTTATAGTTTGCCTTGAGTTGATTTAATTGAACCAACGTTGGATCATCGTATCCCTTAGCGCAAATAAAATATTACGTACGCCTTTTAAAATATTATGTATGTCTGTTAAGGTTCTGACTGTTCAGATTTATGTCAAACAACAGCAAATCATTGGTAATCCAGGACTCGGGGATATGAGCTTCAGACATTCACCCCATTACTGCATGACTATGACCGTGTCTTTAGCAATCCAATAATGCCGCTTACACAACGAATATATATCACTAACATCTGGCTGCGTGGGGCAGAGGCAAATTGACTTTTACAATGCATTTAGGATACAAAATATAGTACAATTCGATGCTATTACTAGCACTGATTTGAGATGTCTGTCGGGGCCAGTAATACCTTTCAAACACCAAATCTAAACTCGCGCACCTTCTTCTGGTAGTAGAAAGATGCCAACAGACCCGTCGCACCCAGAGCCAAGGGGATCGGAGCCCTAGCGCGGGTCTTGATAGAGCGCATGACACCGGAGACGAGGAGGACCACACTGTTTCCCAGGGCCAATTCCGTGCCGTAGTCCTTGTTCTCCTTGATCAAATAGCCTGCAAGCTTGTTGTCAGTTAATATTCTCTAAGTTGTATGGAATTGCTACGTACCTGCATAGGCGTAGGAAAGACCCAGGCCGACACCTGCGATCAGGGACGGGGCGGAACGCGTCCGCATGTAGCCGGCGATGCCACCCACCGGCACTGTTGGGTTATTGATTGTTTAGCCTATGTCTGGTCATTCATGCATTTAGAGAGGTGTGAGCTTACGCAGGCAAGCCAGAGTAAAAGAGGGGTGTTCAGCCATGGTTTTCGATGCTGGAATAAATTGAGGAGATGGATGAAGGAATAGTAGTAACTCTAAAGATGAATCTCCATGTTGTGTCCTTCTCGGCATTCCGGATGCTCGGAGGGCGAATAGCCCGAGCACGAGCAGCCAATCAGATGCGGTAGAAATACGTGACACAGGCTGGCATACAGTAATTATATGTTGTTATACTGGCTTGACTGGATTGATTCTGAGAGGAAATGGTGAATTCCTTGTTTACTATTGCTGTATAGTCTGGAATGCCGGTGTATATCTCCGGTGTAATGTTGAAGAATTTATGCTGATCATACGGAGTGTCATGGGTGCAAAATAAACGATATACATGATGAGTTCAACTACTGCGTGATACGAAATAACCGTGTTTCAACTCCTCTCAAAAGTACTGATAGAAGAGACAACTCACTCATTCAGATGTAGTCTCAATGATTACGAGTGACTCTACCCTTCAGGAAAGCTTTCATCTTAAACAATTGAATAACTGTGATTACTACCAACTTCATTTGATTCCCTTAGTAACTCAGTTGCCCGTATCCGGATAGAGGCACGTGATTTTAGTCATCACCTAAGACGGAGTCCGGCTCTCCGCCTGCCTGATTAGAAAGGCAGGCACAAATCCTCACCGCCCGGTCCATGATGGGTGCCTGGGGCTCTGCCGAAGTGTCATCGTCCATGGCTCCTTACATCTCTGTTGACTTGATTTGTCTAGTATCTACATACAGCAATACGCATCGCCCCTCTTTCAAACCCCCTTGTCATATAACCTCCCGCCCGATGCCAAATCCAGCGCCACTGCCTCCTGCAATCCCACCACATTGAACAAGTCCCGCGGACTTACCCCCGGTTGCACAGCCTGCGTGCCCGTTTCCTTCAACTGCTGTACCGCCCCACGAACCGCCGAGTAGACTGCTCCCAATGCCAACCCAGGGAAGATGATCAGCCGGAATCCGAGCTCCTGCGCCTGCTGAACCGAGAGATCTGGGGATACACCCCCAGGAACGTTATTGAAGAGAACGGGGGTGGGCTTGAGCTCTTCACAGACCTGTCGAGCTTGGTCCGTCGACGTGATGCCTTCTAGGAAGGCCACGTCTGCCCCCAGGGCGATGGCTCCCTTGAGTCGGGAAATGGCCGCCTCATAGCCTAGCGACTGGAGGGCATCCGTCCGAGCTATCAGAACAATATCGCCATGGGACCGGGCGCGAGCATTCACGGCGGCTTGGATGCGGTCCAAATACTCGTCCTCGGGGACGAGCTGCTTGTTGCGCAAGTGACCGCAGCGTTTGCTGGTGGGCTGGTCTTCCAGGTGCAGGGCGGCGACTCCGGCGCGGATGTATTCGGTGACAGTGCGGTGGACCATGAGGGATCCTAGTAGTAGTGTGTGCCTGGTCAGCCACTGGATTCTGTCATTGGTGGCGGAACAGTACCTCCGAAGCCCGTGTCAGCGTCAGCAATCAACGGCACTGTCGGGTCCAGGTTGGCGATCATTTCAGCATTCCCTCGCATTTCGTTCAGCGTGACAACCCCCAGGTCCGGTTGCCCCAGTCGCGAGGCCGTGGTGCCTGCTCCTGTCTGACAACCAGTGTGAGCAGAGGGATAGAACCCCAACTAGCAGTAATTGGTGTAGTGCCTACCATGTACAATGCATCGAACCCTTCCTGCAGGGCGATTCGGGCGGTAAAGCCATCGTAGACGCCCGGACAGACGATAATCTTGCTCTCATCCTCCAAGAGCTGGCGAAGCTTGGTAACCGCAGGAGCAGTGGCCATTGTAATGTATGCAGTGAATCAATTGGGGCGTAGTTCGGGCACAATTGAGGGGTTGCAGCCAGCAGTGCTCGATGGAGCCATATGATGATGTTATATCTCACTTGTAAATCCTCCGGGCCGCAAGCGGGCCGAGTCCGGCAATGCAGGATGCAAGGCTGTATCCCACTACATATATTAAGACACGGTCGTAAGCTTGCTTGAGAAACCCCGCTCAGAGAAGCTCGCTCACTAAGCCTCTTCAGCATCACATTCTCATCATGGGTGACGCCAGCGAACCATATGCCCCTTCGCTGCTGCTGGTATTGCAGCAAACCCGGGATGTCGTCCTCTCCGAGGCAGACAGTACGTCTGGAACACCAAAGAATCACACGGCGATGGATTCACTAACGTGGCGAAGCATACGCATTGCCGACCCTAGGAAATCTGCTTACCCAGCTGGTGCGAGTGGTCGATGCACTTCGAGCGCAGGACCACCCCCGGGAGGCCAATGCCCTCACCGATGTCCTCGCGATCAGCCAACAACCCACGGAGATGGGAGGACTCGGTCTATCCGAAGCGGACACTCTGACACCCGAGCAGGAAGCTGAAATCACCTTCCTGGTGACGGCGTGGCTCGAAGCTTTGAACTCAGCCGATCGCGCCAGGGCACCGCCCGTTCCGCTCGCGGTCCGACCCCCCGGTCGACGTGGCATGACGCTGAGTGAGAAGATCTTTGCGCTTCACGATCTTGGTCGCAAGGGATCCGTGGCGCCTGGGGAGTTGATCCGGGTGGACGTCGACTGGGTTATTGCTTCCGAGGCATCATGGCAGGTACGCATTCTCATTCGACGTATAGCTACATATCCAGATGGTTACTGAAAATTTCGTAGGGCATGGAACAAACGTATGAGCGTCTCGGGAAACCTGGAATCTATCGGAATGACCGGTTCTGGCTGGCGGGAGATCATGTTGTGGACCCTCGCGTGAATGAGGTCCCCAAAGTTAAGGCATTGATTGACGCTAGTGAGAGGGCCAAGCGTGTCTTCAAAATGACCGACTATCAGGGCATGAACGTACGTCCGTTGCAGAATTGCGAGACTGCATAGCCTGTACTCACTCACTGTAGTATACTATTCTTCATACCGAGTTCTACCGCGAGCGAGCCCAGCCGGGTATGGTGGTCGTGGGTTCCGATTCCCACACCTGCTCGTCCGGAGCATTAGGCTGCCTGGCCATTGGGTTGGGCGCAGCCGATGTGACCCTTCCATTGGTCACCGGAGAGACCTGGTTCAAAGTGCCCGAATCGGTCAACATTCGTCTCGTCGGTGCTCCCAAGCCCGGAATTGGAGGCAAGGACACGATCTTGTACATCCTGCAACAACTGAAGCGAAACACCGTGGCCGCAGACCGGATTGTCGAGTTCACCGGCCCAGGTGTGAAACATCTTTCATGCGATGCTCGGTTTGCCATTAGCAACATGACTACAGTCTGTCTATAATATCATATGAAGGCGAAAATGTACTAACGATCATAGGAATTCGGCGGAATTACCGGTGTCTTTGTGCCCGATCAAATTACAGAAGAATTCATCCAGAAGCGACGTCTGCCCCGACACAAAACCGCCAGCGTCTACTTCAAACCCGATGATGACGCCGAGTACGCCGAAACCCATGAAATAGACCTTGGCGAGGTGCGATCTTTCCTGGCCAAATACCCCAACCCTGACGACGTCGTTCCGGTCACTGAGCAGGAAGGCATGCACCTGGATGGATGCTTTATTGGTGCCTGCACCACTGCCGAGGAGGATCTGATTCTCGGTGCTCTCGTGCTGGAACAAGGGCTCCAGAATGGCTTGAAGCCAGTTTCTCACGGAAAGAGGAAGGTTGTTCCGGGCTCAGTGCCCATCCTTCATAGACTCCGTGAGCTTGGGCTTGCGCAGATCTACGAGGATGCTGGATTTGAGATCGGCATTCCAGGATGCAGCTACTGTGTCGGAATGTCGGCTGATCAGGCTGGACCTGGAGAAGTCTGGATATCTTCCCAGAACCGCAACTTTGAGAACCGTATGGGCAAAGGTAGGTCGCTAACCCTGTTGGCGAAGATAGCGGCACATGTCTAACGGCACTACAAGGCTCCATCGGAAATCTTGCATCAGCTGCCACAGTTGCGGCATCGTCTTTCGAGATGAAGCTGAAAGATCCACATGAATACCTCGCAGCCATCGATCTCGAAAGATGGCATACCCTCCGCGGTGTTTCTGTGTCTGCAACAGACTCCACACAAGAACACATCTCTTATATGGAACCTAGTGGCTCCGCGACTGCGGAGGCAAAGACTGTTGACTCACCAGACGTCAAGGTAACAGAGGCAAATACTCCAGAGACAGCAGATAGCTCTTCGTCCGACCTCATGACAGGCAAAGTGCAGCGACTGGGCGATTTTATTGATACCGATGCTGTATGCTGATCCCTCCACCCTTGCGCCTGAAACGGCAGCTAATTAGTACCAGTTGGCCCCTGCCCAGTTTCTCATCGGCATGTCAAACAATCAGATCGCAGGCGAGCACTGCCTCGAGCACACCCACCCCGAGTTTCGGCAGCGCGTGAAAGACGGCTTCAATATCGTCGTGGCAGGCAAGGCATTCGGATGTGGATCGTCCCGCGAACAAGCGGTCATGGCGCTGTTAGGTACACCTATCCCACCCTCTCATAGTCAATTCCGTGTTAACAAAGGCATAATCTAGGCTGCGGCGTCCAATGTGTGATTGCCAAGTCATACTCATTTATCTTCCAGCGCAACATGCCCAGTCTTGGTCTTTTGGGCATCACACTGACCGACGAGGAGTTTTACGACGCGGCTCAAGACGGCAACGAGATTTCCATAGACTTCAAGACCAAGGTGATCAACGTGGATGGGAAGCAATACGCTTTCCAGTTGAGTCAGATGGAGCGGGAACTCTTTCAGCATGGCGGTATTGCGTCGGCCTTCCAGAAATTTGGAAACCGGCTGTTCGAGCAGATGACCAGACCGAAGAATCTGGGGGGTGCCAAGTCCCTTGCGCTGCGTGGAAGTGGGGAGAGTGCTGGTCCGCATGCAGGTTTGCAGTGGTAGTAGCCTACTTAGTATCGTGAAGATAGTCTTCAGTAAAACAAGACGTAGCTTTACTATTATGATATTCGTTATGCATGATCGAACTGCTTTTGATAGACAGAAATCAGTAAATGAAAGCAGTGGCACACCACGTAGCTGTGTCAACACCCTCCAGGAGCAGTGAATATTTCCCCATCCAAGCTGAAAGGCAACAAAGCAAGCAACTCTGCATCGACAACATCCTCCAGCGTCAAGCCATCCGGACAAGCATCTTCTATCCCAACCGGAAAACTAGTAGCAGCCTCCTGACCCGCCGAGCCTGTCCCCCGTGCGCTTAGTCCCCCGCGCTGCTGCTCCATAGCCCTATTATCGGCGAAATATCCCCGACTCGCGAGAGGTGTATTCGTTCCACTACGGGGCTGTCCACCAAACTGCTCCCTCCACATCCATATGGAATCATGGACTAAACTGGCAGCTAAGCGTGTTTTCAGCCGTAAACCAGGCGGCTTGTCCCGCTGCCCACGATGAACGACTTGAGCACTCCATAACTGGGTGAGAATCTTCGACATTCGCCCCGGCAGATCGTTATCCTCGATAGATGTTCGGCGGGTAAGAGCAATGGCGGAGTTGAATGAGCGCTTACCGGTCTCTAGGTCTACAAACGGGCCAAGATTCGAGTAACTCAACTTCATGATGAACATGGCTGCGATGGAGATGATGCGGAAATAGGACACGGGCCCGTAGGCCATGGCGTCGGTGAGGGCTTCGAGTTGGTTGATGATGGTTATGGTGGAGATGGCTATGCTGTAGGCGCGCAGGAGCCCGCGTTTGCGCGTGTCGGAGTCGGATTCCTCGAGTAGGTAGAAGACGTAGAGTTGCAGGCCAATGCCGTTGAGTAGGACTTTATTTTCTTCTGCAAGCAGGGGTTAGTAATGATGGCATGGGTGAACTGGTGTCTGTGGGGGGGTGTGACGGACCAGATATGTAGCTGGTTAAACTGGATGCCAGCTCAGTGTATTCTCGCTCTAGCAGGGCCAGCAAGGAGATGAACTCCCCCGGACGAGGAAGATCCGTTGGCCCTTGCGAATGGCTGGACATGAATTGACCGACGCGGGCCGAGAAACGCGATAAAAGGAGTTGATGCTTGAGGGACATGGGGATCATCGTGCTGTCCCGGTCACAGAGCCGATCGATCATCCAGTCTGACGAGACCCATACTTGTCCGTCTATGGTTACGATTCTGTTAGGGATATTTAGGTTAGATGGCTACGATAAATTATGGATACAGCTGGACGTCACCTACGTTTGAGCGGTGATATAGCAGGTCGCCCATGTTCGCGCTACTTCGGCCATCTCATCCGGCATCAAACGTCTTTTGGTTCGCGAGAAATCTTGGATGGCTTCCGGGCGATGCAACCCGATGCGGAGGGATATTGTCTGCGCAGTGGATAGGAGGATGGAAGTAATATCGGACGAAAGAGATGAAGTGGGAAATGGCCACAGACAAACTAGGATAATAGCCTGCACGACATGCCAGGTGTGCGGGGGGTTGGCGATGGTATCCCATATGAGCTTCTTGACCGGAGCCGTGAGACTGACAAACAAGCCTGGTTCTTCCGTATATCGACGAGAGGCTAGCAGGATGATGGACCAGAATAACACTGCAGACCGAGCATAGTATTGATCCGGGGAGATGGTTGGATCCAACAAGGGTACGTAGGGATGATAGTGAGTGAAGAAGCTGCCAGCATTAGCTAATGGATAGGTAACAAAATTTGACAGACCTTACATATTAAACAGAGCATTTACTTGATGCCCATGAAGATGAACAAAGTCGAGTGACCTGGACAAGGTTGGAGACGTCGTGTCGGAAAGTAGAGGCGAGGGTTGACTTGGTGGCTGGGATGACAAGGAATGAACGGGAGTCGTAGGTACTACTGACAAAGATGGCACTTGGGAAGCCACCAGATCTACCCGCGACCCCGAGGATTCCTGACCGACGATGGAGGAGGCATCGGCATGGTACGATTCGCTGGGGGTCAGAAGGATGCCTTGGAGGGACTGTGGCGCGGCAGCGGGAGGATGAGTGGAGACGGATGAGCGCAGATGCTGGACTTCCTTCTCCAGCTCCTCTAATCGCCTATAAGGTATCAGAATGTGCACATTGGATGCCAGACAATAGTGCCTTCATGGCCAGTGAGGTATACTCTCGCCCGTTGACGCGTTGATACGCCGCATCGAGTCGGCAGTCGTAGCCCAGCCGGCGACATCGGGAGCAGGGAATAGCACCGCCTGTGGATACCTCACATCGAAGCTATGCCATATCGTCAGCTACGGAAAACACCAGAGGTGAGCTAGTACCATCACTGACCTTTGACTGGCGACATTGCTTACAGGCAATCCGTTTACTGCGATGGCGCGGGAAGGGGGATTGGGGCACGCGTTGGGGTGGCATGCTGATCGGCTAGACACCCATTCTCCGAAGAGTAAGCATCGGGGAGACAATCCTGCAGCAGCTGAGGTGAGAGGTAACTAGCTACGAAGTACTATGATTAGGTCAACAACCCTCCAAGGGAGAGACAGAGCAAAAGATGGTGAGTGAGTGATTAACTGTCAGCATGGTCGGGCTTCGCTCTTCCCTCTTCTGATTATCTCCGTTGGCGGGCCGAGCATACCCGGACTGGGTTTAGTGCCATTACCACCGGCCCGAGGACTCTCTGTGTCATCATCCCAATCGGGAAGTCCAGGGTTGTTGGTTAATCCGGCAGATTTGATTGGCCATTCTTCCCCAACTCTAGAGCTATTAAGTCGGATGTCAGACGGATGTGCGACGGAGCAGATTCGGTTATGCAGATGGATATATTTGATTGGCTTGGTCTACGTGATAAGGACGGCCCGCGAGTGCCACAGCCGACTCCGTGCATCTCGGTCGGGATGAAGGAAACACTGCCTCTATAACTAGTAGTTAGTTATATGTACGCAGATGACTAAAGCATGGAGTCCCATTGGAGGGCATCATCGGAATATACTACGGATCAAGTCGTTTCTGGAAGTAGCTGATTGAATCATATTCGACGCGACTGAAATAGTGGTACCCGAAGGACCCCGCAGTATATTGGCGACGACATGTCTCTGTGCTTGTTGGCAATCACAAAACCCACCTAGACCTCGAGTCATGGACAACATCCCGCCCGCATCGTACGATAGTGGAGTGAAAACGTCGAGTTGAAGGAAGAGAATCCTTGTATGATGCTGTGCCATACGTACGGGTTTGCCCTTCTATATGGCCATGCAGTCATGACGTTGGCGATATGCGGTCAATGCTTAGACGTACACACATGCCGAGTCCTACGCCGAGATCGCCTATTCAGTGAACGGTGAATCGTTAGATTGATCTTCTCTGGTCTGATTCAGGGCCAGGGAGCCGTAGGGGTAAGTCCGCCTCCCTAGCTTCGTAGCATCGTTAGTTCCGCGTCTAAACAGGATTGACTAATTGCTCATCTCCCACGACGCGTACTCAAGATGCGAACTATTACTCTATGAGAGTGAACTTGATAGGGGATTTGCAACTGCCGAGAAGCCTGTCTCATCATGAAACATGGCGAAGCAGGCAGTCGTTCGGTCATCTCCTTTGGGAACGGGCCGTTTCCCTTGCCCAACAAGGTAGTATCTGAACCTGATCTGACTGTCTGGAAATATTCATACCCTTAGCGAATGTGTTCCCTAGCCCAAAATAGGAAAATATTATGAGAGAGTGGGACGAAACGTAATCTTTTGATTCGATTCTTGATGTAGTCGGCGAATACTCGGGGAATCCCCGCAACTTCGGGACTGATGCTAAACCCGCCCGGGAAAGAGATCTGAATGTGATGGTGCCGTGCTTGTGGAGACGGGAAGCCGAACAGTCCCTGGACCCTATCTATTCCACATGGCACAGTCCACATCAAGTATGGAAGCCACGCCTGGTCCATCTCGCGCAAGCCACGCCCAAATCTACCTATATTGCATGTTTACAGTTAGCTGAAGCTGTCAAGACCAGGCTGAAACGCGTCAGCAGAACTCTAGCTTTGAGACATCAATATATGTGCCGTCAATTTTGTTTGGGGAGATCCTCCACTGGCAAAAGGTGGTGAAGGCGCTTAGGGGAAGCTGATACCTAGAGTTAGCTATGGAGGAAATGATGGAAGACAGAGCGGAGAAGTTGCGTTATCCATGGATCGTCATGAGTAAAATATGATTCCACCTCTGTGGGTTGGGAGACTTCTAACATTGAAAGAGACAATGATCGTCGAGGTCTGAATCTATAAAGAACACGCCATGTCCCAGTTGTAGCGGTTAACAATCCAACTAACTGTCTAAGTCATTCGCTCGCTATTCATTCATTCAGTATTTGGTACATTTCGAAAATGTTCGCCAAATTGTCCCTCCTTTCTCTTCTTTTCAGCTCTGCTGCGCTGGGCGCTTCCAACCAGACTCTGTCCTATGGCAACATTGACAAGTCGGCCACCCCCGAAGCCAGGGCGCTCCTGAAGTACATCCAGCTTCAGTACGGCTCGCACTACATCTCCGGCCAGCAGGACATTGACAGCTGGAACTGGGTCGAGAAGAACATTGGTGTGGCCCCTGCGATTCTCGGCAGCGACTTCACCTACTACTCGCCTTCGGCTGTTGCTCACGGCGGCAAGTCTCACGCCGTCGAGGATGTGATCCAGCACGCCGGCCGCAATGGAATCAATGCCCTGGTGTGGCATTGGTACGCTCCCACCTGCCTACTCGATACCGCCAAGGAGCCGTGGTACAAGGGGTTCTACACCGAAGCCACCTGCTTCAACGTGTCTGAAGCCGTCAACGACCATGGCAACGGCACTAACTACAAGCTTCTGCTGCGTGATATCGACGCCATCGCTGCTCAGATCAAGCGTCTGGATCAGGCCAAAGTGCCCATTCTCTTCCGCCCGCTCCACGAGCCCGAGGGTGGCTGGTTCTGGTGGGGTGCCCAGGGTCCTGCTCCCTTCAAGAAGCTGTGGGATATCCTCTACGACCGCATCACTCGCTACCACAACCTCCACAACATGGTCTGGGTTTGCAACACTGCTGATCCGGCCTGGTATCCCGGAAACGACAAGTGCGACATTGCCACCATCGATCACTATCCCGCCGTTGGTGACCACGGAGTCGCGGCCGACCAGTACAAGAAGCTCCAGACCGTTACCAACAACGAGAGAGTTTTGGCTATGGCAGAAGTTGGCCCCATTCCGGACCCCGATAAGCAGGCTCGTGAGAACGTCAACTGGGCTTACTGGATGGTTTGGTCTGGTGACTTCATCGAGGATGGCAAGCAGAACCCTAACCAGTTCCTGCACAAGGTGTACAACGACACCCGTGTTGTGGCTCTGAACTGGGAGGGGGCTTAAGTGGATATGGTGGTTTTGATGACAAGAGAAACATAGAGAATCCTTTGATGGATTGTCGAGTGTGTGGGGTGAGGGATATTTTATAATTCTATTCGGCTACTCTGGGAGTGGTCATCATGGCAGCTGATAGTCACTCGAAGCGCCTCCTTAGCTAGCGTGTACTATTGCCATTTTAAATTACACAGTGCACTTCTTTGGGTTCCTCTGTCATAAAGCATTCTAGTAGCTAATTCTCCATGTCGGATGACGCGAGGGGCCAGCTGGGCCTATAGGGTGGCCAAGTACTTGTAGCCTCTCCAGGACAGATGGAATGGAAGACGGTCTTAGTCTCGTCGTCCAGCCAGGACAGGGAGAAAACATAATTTCTGACGTGGCTGTCCGCTCGTAATCCTATCCGCCACAGAATTTGTCAGTAGCCTTCCCTTCAACTTCAGCGGATCCCATACTTAGGACCTGTTCTTCCTATAGCACGGTGATGTATGATATAGGATCGACAGACCTAGTCTCACCGATGAGGTACTGCGTGGACCGTGGCAGTCATGCCCTCTTTGAACCCGCCGGATCTCGAACCTTCTCCCGGAAAATCGATGTGAAGCTCGTGGGGGTTAACAGCGCTGGTGCAACGACCGTTTCTTTGCGCAAGTCAGAAGTAGTCAATTGCACGGTTAACAGTGACACCATCCGTCTCCGGGAACTCACCTCATCGAGAGGTTGAATCGTCTTCTGCACCGATTTTCCAGAGGCGTTCCCAGATACACCCATGGAAGGCATCATGGGGATGGGAGTTGCTCCACGGTCTACCGATGATGGGATTCCTACATTCTGGTCGTTGTATCATAGCGGACAGCTGGCCCGAGCCTGTTTTTCCCTTCTACTTCGTCCCGGGCTCAGAGTACCGGGCTGAGCTGACCCTGGGTGGAGTGGATAAGTCCAAATTCATTGGTGATCTTATCTGGACCGACCTCAATCGCAATGTGAGCATCCTTTCTGGGGCTTACACTTGGGCTTCGTGGGTCTCGACATCAACGAGCGGCCTGCTCTCACGACTGGCAACTACAGCACGGGGATCGCGGGTGGTCCGCCTGCACTGTTTGTTGCTGGACTGACTGCTCTTGGTACAGGAACAGCGATCCTCCAGATTCCTGATAAAGAGTTAACGGAGGATCTCTACAGGCAAATTTTGCCGTTCATTACGATGATCGACTCAGCTGGTGCGTGGGGGGCTCCATGCCCTCTGCTGGATGCGGTCGCTCCGGAGCTGACCTTCACCATCGGCACAGATAGCCAAAGTATCACCCTCCCTCGAAATTTGCTCAACTTAGGCGAGTATCCGGGGCAGCCAGAAAACTGTCAAGCAGTTTTAACAGCCCCACGGAGCCCCTTGAGGATCCGATGGGAGAAGGGCGCGCCGTGTGGCTGGTGGGATCTCCCTTGCTCAAAGCATACTATACCGCGTGGACCGGCCTGGACTTTCGGGTGGGATTCGCCACACTGGTGGTACCTTTCATGTCCTAGATGACTCCTTGGATATGTTGGATATGTCGATTAAAGTATGATTACCAAGATGCTTTAGGTTGACGATACAAAGTGACCTTTCGGGTATACACCTGTAATTTGCAATCCACTATGGATTGCGTGTTGGTATTTGGACAGGAAGGAGGCTGCACGAACGAGCTGCAAACGAGAAGCAGGATGACTATGAATAGATATTCGCCGTGGGAAGTTGCATCACTTCGCGAGATTCAAAAAGCTAGTTACACAGCAGGTAAACAAGAAAGCAACTGCTGCGGATGCGATCTACGCAAGGGGAGGGCACAGCCTTATCTCGTGCAGCCCGACATGCATACGCGACTTCCGGCGGTGTGAAGATTGCCATGTTATTGGAGATGAGATGTCACATTCCAGCATCGCAAGTTCTCTTCCTGTTCGGAAAGCTTACCTAAGTTAAAATGCTGTGAACTGTTCACGCAGTGATTGGATGGACCCATACAGGTGAGCAGGAGCTGATAGATAAGAAGTAAGAAGTAGTAAGACGGAATCGTACAGAGTATCACCCCCACGGTATTGGACTTGCCCTTGAATGTTTCTCGGCTCGCTGCTTGGAGTGGGGCACGAATACTAGTCATGGTGTGTGTGTGTGTGTGTGATAGAGTTAATACGAAGAGTCTAAGCATACAGAATATGTCCGTCCCTTATTAGATTATGTATGCTTTTGACTGCTCAGGAGAGTAAAGGTTTTCGCTGGTAATATTTCCGGTATGGATACCGTCACGTAATACCTCACCGGTAGTTGCAACCTAGTTATGGCGCCATGATGTTGTGTCAGCGTGGGCTGGCCCTAAGATCCGACTGGACAAAGATCTCCCCGTCAGCATCCCTGCATCTCCTGCTGCTTGGCGCGGCGATCTGTCTGTGACGTGTCCATCAGAAGGGTTAGTACGTCACAAAGGACAATACCCGAAAGTAAGATGCCGCCTGGAAATGGTTATTCGGAGTATATCCGGAAAGTCAACAAAGTCCCGGACATATATCTCCGGCAAGAGGAAGACAAGAAGAGCACAAATAACTGTTTCATCTTGAAACCTTTCAACGACCAGAATATGATGGAGATCTGACCAAGGGCTACCGGGTCATACCAGCGGCAGGATAGACATACCAGCAAAAGAAAAGAAAATAGTTCGATCGGCTGGGAACTGTGGAGATGATCCATTGTTGATCCGTTGTTGTCAATTCGCGCCCCGCCAGATCGACATACGCTTGCGGCTCATGGGTTCGATGGGGATCTAATTCCTCACTCTCTAGCGCGCCATCCTGTCAAAGAAGTTTGCGAAGAGTCCTAGGTCGACGCTAATTACTACGCCTCAGAACTACGAAAAACTACGACAAAGTAGGAGAAATTTCCAAGAAAACATGACATTTTTGGTTTCAACTCTCATTACCCATAGAATAAAAGGAACATATACATGACCCCGAGATAAATTTTGATGATCAGACGTAGAGAAGCGCCAAAGCAGCACCAAGCAGAGCCACGACTCCCTGGGGAGCGTTAAATGTAGACGAAGCCGCGCCGGTGGATAGCTGAGCGGTGGATGTGGTGGCAGTGCTGTTTGAGCTCGAGGTAGAAGACGCGGATGTGGCGAGCGTAGTGCCCGTAGAAGACGACGAAGACGTGGAGGTAGAGGTGGCCGATCCTGTAGACAAATCAAGCTTCGGTCAGTGAGGTCGCCGTGCCACAATGACGAAATGACATCTTGCCTGAAGATGAAGACAGAGGACTGCTCAATGAGGTAGATGTCGAAGACACCGCAGTCGTAGGGGTGACTGTGGTGGATTCGGTCTCACTGGATGTCGAAGAGGAGGAAGTGGTGGTGGAGGAAGAAGAAGAGGAAGAGGAAGAGGAAGAAGAAGATGTAGTGGATGTGGAAGAAGATGATGAGGAGGAAGTAGTACCATCGGTCGAAGCACCCTTTTCGACAGTAAAAGTCGGGCTCACAGCGAGCTCGCCCGAAGAGTCGATGATCTCGATTTCATAGTCAGACCTAGGATCAGAATCACTAAGTTAGTAGCGTTCTCCCTTTCAAATATCGGTGAGTCTACAAGGTCCAGGGGTACGTACCCGTTGGAAATGCTAGGGTTGGGCTGGGTAGTGTATTCCCCCGTGGACGTCTTTACGTTGTCCGCCAGCTTGGTCTGGAAGGATCCATCCTGGGTTCGCAAGATGATGCTGATCACTGACGGATCATTCGCATCGCTGGTGAACTTGATAGTCTTCGGAGTGGAGAAATCCCACTCGGTGCCTGAGGTGGGCTGGGTGATGGTGATGGCCAAAGCCGAAGAGATGAGGCTTAGCGAGGCGGCGGTGATTGCGAAGCGCATGTTGATACGATTGGGATTGCTACTGATGAGGATATCTAGGAAGTAGTGTCAAGTCTTCTACCGGGAAATTAACCTGCTATATATACACATCGTCCTTGAGAAGGGGTCTCTTTGACGGGATCGTAAACCGACAAACCGTATACTCTTCTGTACTGAATCACTCAGCAGCGTTTAGCTGAAGCCCAACCGATCGGGACCAGGCCGATTGTCTAGACCGCTCACTGAGGCAGCAATACGAGATGATCATCAGCATGAGCTGAATCTCTCCCAGGAGGAGGAAAAAAAAGGGACCTCAAAGTGTAATCCGAGACATTTTCCACGTAGAGTGACAGCAATCGGGCATGACCGGAATGTATGTCTCTGAAGCAGTGATCTGTCATGGTGTGCTGGATATATCACAATATCGGGCCAATGAGATGCTCTGATACGATTGGCTGTCGGTGTTCTTTCCCTGACAGATAAAGACGCGAGCTGTGAAAGCAAGTTGAAGCCATCTCGTGTCAGCGCAAGGTTGGCGCCAGGAGGGATTGGCTGCGATACGGAAGAGCCGATAAGGCGTTGGGTGATCGAGGCTGTCAAAGATCCGTACTTCTATTTTGGTGGGCAGTATTTGGCTATAATTCCATACCGGTATATGACGGTAAGATGGCCCAACCTCCCCAGATTGGCTGGCCGAGTGTATCTGGGACCTGCGGTCATCCTGCAAGCTGGCAGGCTGCTTGTGGTGGTGGTTGTTCTTCCAAGGGTAACCGAAGCCGAGCCGGTTCCTGTGCGCCCGACCGTCAGGGCGACCCATCAAAGAAAAGAAAGCCCGTAACAGTCGGGAAACCCGAACGAATTTACCTCCCTGTATACTGCTTCGTCTATGCCATCCGTGCCAGAAGGAGACCCTGACAATTTTCTTTCCCCCGTGCTACAAAAGATTTCAAGAGACTCAGACGGAAACAACACATTTATTTTACCGTGATGCTAGGGTGACTCGTAAGAGACAAGACGCCACATTCTATACTTAGTAATGTATCAGTGCAGCCAGAGGGGTGGTATCGGGTTTCAAGTAAAGCCACAGTTTCAAAACATTCAAAAGAGCGTTATGAGCAAACAATAATCATAGGGGTAATGCGAAACAGGGAAAGACAGGCGACAAACAGAAGGGGTAGAGGCTCAAGGAGACTAGAACACGTAGGACGTGGCCATCGCAACTGTGACCACCAATGTGCTTATCCCCAACGGCACCCCAAACAAACAGGTCTCTGAACCCTTGGACTGGGTCAAGCTCGCGGACGAGGCTGCGGAGCTACTCGGGGTCGCCGATTTGGTCTGATCACCACAGATATCAGTGCTGTCCTTCAGGCTGTCCGTGGGATAGTACACGCGCGGACCCCCGTCCGAGCTCAGATCCACTGCCAGATTCCCGCTGGAATCCGTGACATACGTCTTGCACGATAAGATCTCGGTCACATTCTGCTTGGATTGGAATCCAGTCTCGTCTGAGCCCAACGTGATTTTCGTGGTGGCTTTGCTGGCTGGCTTGGCTCCCAGATTGGATACGACACTCACGATCTGATTGCCCGCAAACCCCTTGCGCGTGGCCAGAATGTGCGTAGAATTGTAAATGGGTGCTGACAGGTACGAGAGGTAATCGCTCCCAGATTGCGACTTTTGCGTGTACTGCTCACCGTCCCCGCTAGCATACGATCGAAGGCGGTTCAGGGATTGGACGAGGGTGGGGAGGGAGGTCGAGCGCATCGAGTAGTTGGTCAGCCACAGAGCCTCACGGTTGACAGGATTGTAGGATCCTGTCAAATGCTGCTCCTCGCCGTAATAGACTGTATTTTGATTATCAGTGGTGTCTGAGGAATCTTGCTTACTATGGGGGAGGCGGGGATCGGAACATACGGATGGGGATGCCGTCCGTCAGCATACTGCTGGTCAGGATATTGCGCGCCAGCTGCTCACAAGCAATAAAGTCAAACATTGTTCAGTACCAAGATAGGACCACCGACTGAACTTACCGAAATATCCGACGTGTATGAACCGAAGCGCGGAACATCCTGGTTTGCAGTAAACGTCCCCAGAGCCAAGACATCCTGTATATGATTAGTTTGCCCTTATAATCCAATTCGAAGGCATGCCCTACCTCGCACTGTCCTTTGGTGTAGCTTATGGACTCGGTAATGGTGCTCAGGTTCCCGTTGGTCGTGTTGAAGGCGTCGGTAAGAATATAGTACCTGAGAAAGTCAACACGACTGACTTTACTCACCACGATGCGGTACTTACAATGGATAATTCAAAAGCCCATTTAAACTTGGCTGCAGAGGGCAAACATCAGCCGCATCGGCCGTGGCACCTTCACCGACAGTGAAAACCCCTGATGACTTGGTGAAGTTGGAGAAGAAGTCCGGGGCGATATTTAAGACGCTGTCAATACGCAGTCCGTCAACTACAAAACAGAAACAGGTCAATCAATATTCCATAACGGCCAAGGAAGAAGTCTTACTTGAGTAGTTCGAAACCAACCCCGAAATCCAGGTACCAAGAATATTCTGAACTTGTTGGTCTTCATTTCGCAGATCGGGAAGTGATACGACGGTGTCTCCCATCCAGCACTTCATATGGGGTTAGCAAAATCCCACGGGTCATGATTCACAATACAGACTTACATCCAGAACACAAGTTTCATTTGTGGGGTCACTGGAGAGGAGCTTGAAATCATGGAAAAACTTCTGATCATTGAAAGGATTAAAGTTGCTGTAATCGACGGTGCTGTGATTTCCCGCCCAGGCCATATCACCAACCACGATGTCAAGCATCAAGTACTGGGTTTTGCGCGGTCAGTGTCATCTTTAGGGAAAATGGCAGAGCGACTCACCATGCCACGATCGTGCAGGGCAGAGGACAAGGCTTCCAGCTCCTTGGGAGTGCCAAAATGAGAGTTGATGGAATACAGATCATTGGGCCAATATCCATGGTATGCTATGAACCGTTAACATGTTGAATTTCTTACCTACCAAGCTACATAGTATATCGTGTATATAACAATGTACAGAGTTGCAGATGGTTTGTGAAGATTTTGAAAGTGCCATACCTGAGAGATCTGCTGTTCGGGCGGAAATTTGGCTTTGTGCGGGAGAGATCCATATCTGGTGTTTCAGGTATGAGAAAGAGTGGCAGAGAGCGAGAGGCAGGATGATGGTGGTAAACCTACCGCATCAAACCCGAGCTCCTGGATGTAGTCCAGCTTATTGATGATGCCCTGGAAAGAGCCTCCGCAGTAGTTTCCTAGTGCTGCATCACAAGCAGCGGTGGTTGAGTTATCCGATCGAGCAAAGCGATCGGTCACGATTTGATAGATAGAGCGACCGATCCATTGGTCTCTGGAAGCCGCATTAACCGTGGGGATTCCCAGAGTTACCACCAGCAACGAGATGATCCACCACCCGTCGTCCATGGTTGGTGGCGTTTGCATGCGCAGATGAAAGAAGGCAAGGAGAGTAGTTCAATGGTGGGATTATTAGCTGGAAAGAGGTGAGAAAAAATGTCTTGATGGTTATGACCTGCGTAACCTCCTGTTGAGCATGTTCATATACGAAGCGGACACATACATCCTTTGTGTCTGTTCAGGGCAAGAAGGCTGATACCGACCAGTGAACAACACTTCAGCGAAGATGATACCGATGTATCCGGACCGTATGGAAACTTACGTGACATCGGCATCGGGAATTGTGTAATGGGTATTGTGTATTATTCGACCATTGGGTAAAGTGGGAATAATTGGGTATTGGTACTTCTGGACCCCGAACCAACAGACAGACATCTATCTAGTTAACCATTACTACTACTTACTAACTAGTAAATCTGACATCAAACTCACGGCCCGTTCGCCAGGTGGTTGGTTTCTTAGTTCCTGTCACTTCCACCCGATCGGCAGGCTTTGCTGGTCCGAGACAGTGAGAGACAGACTATCAGACTATCAGAAAAAGCGCGAGCCAAACCTTAAAACTTCCCGCTATTTTTCTTTTTCTTCTTTTTTCTTCCCTATTTCCCGTCGGGCCTTTTCTGTGCTCCACTTCTCTCCCTTATCGGCCTTCGTATCCCGAAAAGATAGTCTATCCCACTCACTTTTTTCTCCTTGGCTCGCTTCCACTATCTCGGATAGGTCATCTCCCTTAGCGATGACGTGTCTCTGCTCTTTCCTTCGTTCTGAGTTCACGGAATCTGCAAGTCCTGCTCGCCCCATCGAGCATATGTCACTACCGGGTCGATGGGGTTCGTCTATCTCCGATCCCCGTGGCCCGGGATATATCACTGGCTCTTCAAAGCTCGTCCTTGCAGGAGGTTCCCGAGGTGATGAGAAACATCATGACACCGCATATGCCAGGTCGAACTGCTACTATCCATAGTAAACCATGGACGTACCTCCACTTTTCTCCTCCCCAACACCACGACGGATCCTTCCACCCCCATGGGTTCTTGGTTCTGTGTGAGCTGTCCGGTGGACTTAACCCCCACCACCGTTGAGAAGCCATCATCATGACCCACTTTGGCTGCTCGCTCAGCCTCTCAACCACTCCGGAAAACCCATATCAATGCATGTCAGACTGGTTCCGGATGAGACATGAGCCTGCCAGTGTTGGGCCTGGAACCTCGTCTTGAGGCCCGAGCAAGGTGGCGTGGCGTGTTACAAGCTGAATTGGCTTTCAATCGACTCAAATAGACTTGCTGCTCGGAATACCTACACCCTCTATGCCCACCAAATGTGGCGTGTGTGTCAGCCCCAAGAACTATCGGCCAAATTTAGGCCTGTTCGACCGCCTCACTCAGCGTCAGTGCACAGAGGAGGCTGTACGGGACTTTGCGTTATCACGCCGGGGTAATGCACTAATCTATGACATGCTTTCCCTGCCCATCGGTGATACCCTATGAATCTCTCCGCAGTTTCTGGGTTCATGGGATATCCTTTCTTTCTAGGCATGCACCGTTCTGCTGTTGTTGCTGCTTGT